ATCAGTATAGAAAACTTTTTTAAAATCTGAAAAAAAAATTGAAAAGTTTCCTTTCGGAGGAAGATTGATGAAATAATTAAAATATTGCAATTTTTAAAAGTTACGAGTATTTTCTACAAATAATTTATAAACTATCAATTTTCACCGGAAAAAACACGTAACAAATTTATTCATCAACCATTTCAATCATTCATTCATAACCAACGAACATGAAAAAAAATGATAATCCCGTGCAAAACATAATTCGAATGACCCTGGATACTCATGATTTTTTTCACAATTTTTTTGCGCATTTTAATTGACATATTTGATGACTGGAAATGGTTAAATCGATAGTGTGCTCTGTACACGAAGAGAAATTTTTGATAAAAATTATCCTACCGTTCTATAAAAATGAATCATGAGTCATCGATTCCTCATTTCTATCCCGAAATTTAGTAAAAATTAATATATGATGACCAGATTTTATTAGACGTTAGAGAAATTTTATCCTGACGCATAATAAGTTTTACCCTTCCAGTCCAATAATTTTTATGTAGATAACAACGAACATTCTAGAGCGGTTGGTAAATTTTACCCTACCGGTACAGTAATTATTGTCCTACCGGCACGGTAATTTTTATTTTTATCAGGATAAAATTTCTCTAACGTAGAATAAAATTTGATCATCATATATTAATTTTTACTAAATTTCTGGATAGAAATGAGGAAACGATGACTCATGATCCACTTTTATAGAACGATAGGATAATTTTAATCAAAAATTTCTCTCCGCGTACCGAACTGTAAAAGATACTTGGATATCTTTAACAAGTCTTGAAGACATTGGTTTTCGCAGTGAAGTCCGTGTGAATCGATAAAATCGGAAGAGACCAGCAGAAAGAGCGGGCGAGAAAAAATGAAATTCCCCTCTCGTTACGCAAATGAATTACGTGACTTGAGTCGTGACTTTTACGCGCTTGTGCAACGTCCAACGCGAACTTAAAATCACCTGTGAAAATGCAGTGTGTCACTGACCGTTCGAGTGTGTGTACAGCGGAGAGTACACTCGTTCTGAAAACTCTCCGCCCGAGGATTCCCCATTGACTGTTTCATCATTCTCCTCACATTTTCATCCCCATTCGAAGTTTCCCCGGGTCACACAGGAGCTGTCCCCATTCCCGGGTTTATGGCTGACAAAAAATTCAATTGCACAAATACCAAACAGTGGTATTTCAACCAGAATTATGGACTTCGTGACGGTATTTTGCAATGCGAAAGACAATCAATTAAAACGGAATTTTGTTTTCTCCACGGGAGAGATTAGAGATTTAATGCCGCGTTGGAAATTGGGGTAAATGGGAGGTTCGAGGCTTGCTTCAGCCTCGGTTTGAAGGATTTATTGTTCTCTTGACAACTAGAATTAATCAAGCACGATTTTAATCGATTTATGGGTGAACATTCACATGAACTGGATTTATTTTTCATCCGCAGCGGTAATTTGTCTTTATTTGATTCGAGCGGAGGCTTCATGCCGAACGATTAATTCTGATGACAAGAATCGTGACCTTTGAGTGTGTCAATTTCAAATGGTAATTAGCGGGGGGAGTGAGCGCACCAGTCTGTAATGTTATCTCGAGTATCTGAGCTGCGCCTGTTGGAAATGTCTTTGGAGAATTTGACACTGGGATTTTTCTAGTTGAATGAAGTAGTATTACGGTATTAAAATGGAATTAATTCTCTAAAGGTCTAGAGGTCATACTTTATGCTCAATTTAGAATATTTATTATGCTTTTGATTACAACAGAAATTAATTAAGTTCAGATTTTGATTAATTTATGAGCGAAACCTTGCGGCAATTCGATTTAATTTTTAACTACATTGCTAGGAAATTAATCTTGAAATTTCAAGTGAAAAAGTTTGATTTTTGACAACGATGAAGTTACATTAAATTCCTGTGTACTTCTTCATTGCTGAATTATCAATTTTCAGGTCCGTACGGCACTGAAAAACCTTGAAAATATTTGAAAATTCAGACAACTTTTTTGAATTCTTAATCTATTGAAAATCGAATTGTATGTGATGTTCAATTTTCCGGATGAGTTTGGAAATTCAAGCTTTCATTGAAAAATCAATGATTAGTTAACATGAAAAACCCAATTTTCTTGAGTTTTCAAGACGAATGAGAAATTTAGTGAACGCTATCATTTCAAATTGAATTCAACCTCACGAAATCGAAAATTCAGATGACGCTATGACTGAAATTGCAATAAATGTCTAACAGTTTTTCGTTTCGGCTGTCTAATAATCACAGGCAAGAAATTAACCCTTAAATGAAACAATAATAATCAATCTTAGCAATCTTGTAACTCAGGGATAAAATATTTGTTGATGAATTTTCCTCTATATGAGATATTTTCATCCTGAAAAGGCACCGTCTGACGTGAATTATCCGTGGAAGCATGCACACACAACTCCATAAAACGCACTTCAAGCATCTAAATCGAGCCTTCACCAAACATGTTTTCAGATCAATGAAATTTTTCCTACACCGATTAATATATTCCACGAAAATGTGTCACTCGGCTCATTGATAAAACCACCTTTTTCGTACTCTCCCGAGCGTATCAGATAAAATTACCTCCTTATTCGGAATGGTTACCCTCAATGACACACAGCCGAGAACATTCGATTCAACTGGTTCAGGTTAACGGACGGTAAATGGCCGGTGTATCTCAAGGTCGCAGCGACCTTGCCCGAGGGCCCAAACTTCTTTTTATTCTCACTCGTTTCGGATCCTGATCCACCCCAACAACATTACATTAAAATTTCGACAAAGGAAAAGATCTGAATATTCAAAAAGATCTCGAATATTCAGTGGCATTCAAATTACATTTTGCACAGAATTATTATTTCTTAAACATTCGTTGTTTATAAATAAATAATTAAAATTGTTTAAACTTTTGAAAAACTCACTTCTTACGCATGAAAAAAATTCTGAAGATGAATAAATTTGTTACGATTCCGAATAAATCATTTTTGTGGTAGACAATTGATTCTTTGTAATTTATTTATAGAAAATGCTCGTAATTTTGAAAAATTGTACTTATTAAATTTTTTAATCAATTTCCCTCGAACAGTAAACTTTCCTTTTTTTTTCAGATTTCTAAAATGTTTTCTAACGGTTCAATATTGACATTCAAATTCAGACCTGCAATGTTTAAATAATAAAATCACTGCAAAATGTCCCGAAACTTAGGGTCAATTGGGGTTCAAATGAAAGCTCTGATGTTCGACTTACAAAAGTAGAAAAGCATTTCACTGAAGAAAAAATCGCCAAAGTACTTGAATATCCTTAAACCCTATTCTTCGTTCAAAAACCAATTTTTTCTTCTAAAACTTCAAGACATTTTATTCAGCCAAGGGTTGATATCAAAGTCCAGGGCAATTTTGAATTAAATATGGTCCATTTTGCCCCAATTTCCCTCGAACAGTAAACTTTCCTTTTTTTCAGATTTCTAAAATGTTTTCTAACGGTTCAATATTGACATTCAAATTCAGACCTGCAATGTTTAAATAATAAAATCACTGCAAAATGTCCCGAAACTTAGGGTCAATTGGGGTTCAAATGAAAGCTCTGATGTTCGACTTACAAAAGTAGAAAAGCATTTCACTGAAGAAAAAATCGCCAAAGTACTTGAATATCCTTAAACCCTATTCTTCGTTCAAAAACCAATTTTTTCTTCTAAAACTTCAAGACATTTTATTCAGCCAAGGATTGATATCAAAGTCCAGGGCAATTTTGAATAAAATATGGTCCATTTTGCCCCAATTTTCCTCGAACAGTAAACTTTCCTTTTTTTCAGATTTCTAAAATGTTTTCTAACGGTTCAATATTGACATTCAAATTCAGACCTGCAATGTTTAAATAATAAAATCACTGCAAAATGTCCCGAAACTCAGGGTCAATTGAGGTTCAAATGAAAGCTCTGATGTTTGACTTACAAAAGTAGAAAAGCATTTCACTGAAGAAAAAATCGCCAAAGTACTTGAATATCCTTAAACCCTATTCTTCGTTAAAAAACCAATTTTTTCGTCTAAAACTTCAAGACATTTTATTCAGCCAAGGGTTGATATCAAAGTCCAGGGCAATTTTGAATTAAATATGGTCCATTTTGCCCCAATTTCCCTCGAACAGTAAACTTTCCTTTTTTTCAGATTTCTAAAATGTTTTCTAACGGTTCAATATTGACATTCAAATTCAGACCTGCAATGTTTAAATAATAAAATCACTGCAAAATGTCCCGAAATTCAGGGTCAATTGAGGTTCAAATGAAAGCTCTGATGTTCGACTTACAAAAGTAGAAAAGCATTTCACTGAAGAAAAAATCGCCAAAATACTTGAATATCCTTAAACCCTATTCTTCGTTAAAAAACCAATTTTTTCGTCTAAAACTTCAAGACATTTTATTCAGCCAAGGGTTGATATCAAAGTCCAGGGCAATTTTGAATTAAATATGGTCCATTTTGCCCCAATTTCCCTCGAACAGTAAACTTTCCTTTTTTTCAGATTTCTAAAATGTTTTCTAACGGTTCAATATTGACATTCAAATTCAGACCTGCAATGTTTAAATAATAAAATCACTGCAAAATGTCCCGAAATTCAGGGTCAATTGAGGTTCAAATGAAAGCTCTGATGTTCGACTTACAAAAGTAGAAAAGCATTTCACTGAAGAAAAAATCGCCAAAATACTTGAATATCCTTAAACCCTATTCTTCGTTAAAAAACCAATTTTTTCGTCTAAAACTTCAAGACATTTTATTCAGCCAAGGGTTGATATCAAAGTCCAGGGCAATTTTGAATTAAATATGGTCCATTTTGCCCCTGTTTCTGTGTTAATATTCTAAAAAATGTCAATTGTGAACGAAGGAAATTGATATTATGGACTCCATCGATTGACCTGACAACAACAACTCCGAGTTACCTCCTGATTTTTCACGTTTGTTTAATTATTTCGCAGGTATATTCGTGCTGATGACCCTGGGACTGCTGGGCCTAGCGTTCGGGTGCATCGTGATGGTGGTTCAGCCCTACGAGTTGCTTTTCAAACTCAAGGTGATATTCGGAGATAACGGGGAGATCTTCGAGCTGTGGAGGAAGCCACCTGTTGAATTGTATCTTAAGGTGTACTTATTTAATATCACGAATCACGAGGATTATCTCGCTGGGAAGGCTGACAAACTCAGCTTTCAGGAGGTTGGACCTTATGTGTACAGGTAGGTCCGGGGATATTCTCTCCGTGTCTTGAATTAAGATTGAGGATGACTATAATTTTTTGCATAAAAAATTGCCTTCCCGTAGTTCCCAGAATAAAGCGAAAATATAATTCTCAACATGAGAAATGATAAATCCCAGCTTTTCAACAACACATTAATCACTCATTATTCAAACGGTGGCCTCGAGATGATATCATTTTTCACATATCTTCATTTTTATTTTTGCAAAACCCGTTTTTATTCTTCACTCGCTCTGAATCGCTCGCTTTCATGAATCAACTGATGAAAGGTTTTGTTTTTCGAAATCTAGTTCGATTGAAGTGTTTGTGAGTCATTAGGAAGTAATTATATCCAGCTGAACAGCTGTTTCTCCTTTACTACGTCAATCTCTCGTTTCTACTATCAGATACACGTGTCATAATTCTATCAGGCGGGAAACGAAGCAGAAAGTGGGAATGGTGATGGAGAGTTCGGTTCATTATTTTCTCAATAGTTTGATTTATTCGTAATTGGCTTTGTGCAATTTGACCTTCCAGCCTTTCCCAATAATTCCCCTTTCACGCCCTGTATTCTTTGCTGGAGAAAACTTGAAAGGGTGTGAGGAATGATGTAGATTTCACAATTCTATTGACCCTTCCCTTCAACGGGAGAAATGATTTATTTGTTGGGAAATGTCGATCCTCTCTACATACATTATATCCGCCGCTCCTTTTCTCCCATCATTTACCATTATTTTTTTAATTACCTCATGGCAAAACCTACGGTTAACTCCACAAATAATTGCAGATTGAAGAATCGTCACTGGGTTGAATTAGAAATACTGAAATTCTCGTTTTGAACCGTTGGGAAACATGTGTAATTCATTGTTTATTTCATTTTATTAAATTGAATAAGATTTCTTTTCAACTAATTCTCAGATTTTCAACTTAGTTCAATGTTATCACCATCATTATTATTATTATCTCTTTTTTCTGTATAACCGATTGTCTTTTTTACGGTTCTATCTCTCTCTTCAGCCCTTCGATAAAATGTTAATAGAAAAATTTTATTTACACATACTTGAATGAATTTGAAACATCACGTTTGAAGGAACCATCAGAAAGCTGACTTTCAGGGAAATTCATGAAAAATTCGAAATTTTCAACAATCATCATAAAAATCAAATCAACCAATATAGCTATCGTAATCATCTTTCAACTTCGACTTAATGGCATTAAAACAAACATTTTAAGCTATGATTAAATTCATTTGAAGCATGATATTCAAAGATATCCCCGGAATTCTGATTTTCAAAAAATACAAAATTTTTGCAAATTTTCAAATAAATCAAAATCACGATTATTGCTGCCGCCTTCATCTTCGAACTCGGTCAAAAGGACATCCAAACAAATTTTTTAAGCCATCATTCAATCAATTCAGAACATTTTTTTAGTTATCGTGCACGGAGATAAATATTCAATAAAAATTACGCATCTTTTCCGTAATTCCGGAGCGAAATGTGGTTGTAGGACATTTTACGGAACTGTCACGGAATTTTTCCAGAGCGTTCGGTAGTTTTTATCTGAATCTCCTGTGAAAAATTACCATGTCGTCACTTAAATTTTCTGAGTCGATTCCGTAATCGGTGAGCGAGTTGTGAGTTCCGTAATTTTTACTGAGTATTTCTCTCCGTGTGGGACAACCGATTTCCGAAAAAATTTGAAAATNTATTTTTTTAATTACCTCATGGCAAAACCTACGGTTAACTCCACAAATAATTGCAGATTGAAGAATCGGCACTGGGTTGAATTAGAAATACAGAAATTCTCGTTTTGAACCGTTGGGAAACATGTGTAATTCATTGTTTATTTCATTTTATTAAATTGAATAAGATTTCTTTTCAACTAATTCTCAGATTTTCAACTTAGTTCAATGTTATCACCATCATTATTATTATTATCTCTTTTTTCTGTATAACCGATTGTCTTTTTTACGGTTCTATCTCTCTCTTCAGCCCTTCGATAAAATGTTAATAGAAAAATTTTATTTACACATACTTGAATGAATTTGAAACATCACGTTTGAAGGAACCATCAGAAAGCTGACTTTCAGGGAAATTCATGAAAAATTCGAAATTTTCAACAATCATCATAAAAATCAAATCAACCAATATAGCTATCGTAATCATCTTTCAACTTCGACTTAATGGCATTAAAACAAACATTTTAAGCTATGATTAAATTCATTTGAAGCATGATATTCAAAGATATCCCCGGAATTCTGATTTTCAAAAAATACAAAATTTTTGCAAATTTTCAAATAAATCAAAATCACGATTATTGCTGCCGCCTTCATCTTCGAACTCGGTCAAAAGGACATCCAAACAAATTTTTTAAGCCATCATTCAATCAATTCAGAACATTTTTTTAGTTATCGTGCACGGAGATAAATATTCAATAAAAATTACGCATCTTTTCCGTAATTCCGGAGCGAAATGTGGTTGTAGGACATTTTACGGAACTGTCACGGAATTTTTCCAGAGCGTTCGGTAGTTTTTATCTGAATCTCCTGTGAAAAATTACCATGTCGTCACTTAAATTTTCTGAGTCGATTCCGTAATCGGTGAGCGAGTTGTGAGTTCCGTAATTTTTACTGAGTATTTCTCTCCGTGTGGGACAACCGATTTCCGAAAAAATTTGAAAATTAAAAAACTAATCGATGAATGAGATTTTAATTGATGGCGATCGATAGGGCTCGACAATACCTACAGTCAAAAAATCAATTTTAATAAAAATCCCCGAACGCTCAATGCTTAACACAATTGATAAAATTTAGGGATAATTGTGAATAGATTTACCTCCTTATGCATTAAATTTATAAAGCAAAAAGTGTGACCATTCATTGAGATTTTACGTTTCAGAGAATATTTAGAGCATTCCAACATCACATTCAACCCGAACGGCACGGTAACATCATACCCCCACCACCCCCTGGTCTACCAGCCCGATAAGAGCAACGGCACCGAGGGAGATATGCTAATCTTGCCGAACATAGCACTACTAGTGAGTTCAATTATCTTTCACTTTCATGTAAAACGTCACCCGAACATAAATCTCTGAAAACCTGTCGCAACTAGGCTGGAGTTTGACTTTGAATTTCACCAGACGTGTTTGCAACGCAGACATGTCTTGTGAGTCAGACTGATATTAGCCGAGTCATTGGGGGAAGATCCTCCCGTGCATTAACTCCGATAAATAACAATTCAACGATGATTGCGCAGTTGATGGATGATCACGGAAATAATTGATGAAGCTTCAATTACATTCATTGGTCTCTACAGTAGTAATTTAACGGTAGCAATTCCGCTGTTGAATTCTTCAAATAACTGATATTCGTACTGGAAATGCCCCGAAATTGTCGAATTTTTTATGAAATATTAGGAAATGAATTTCAATCTGTTTAGGTCTCACTCAAATTTATTAAATATTTAGTTTTGGTACTGCTGCTACGTTCACCTCGTGCCGAAAAGAACTTTTAAAGAACAGAGTATCAATGACTCAATGGCTCGACGAACCAAACGGGAAATTAAAAAAATGTCGCACTTGTATCGAAATGCACTACTTCATTGAATACGACAAAATTATGAGTATTTTAGGTGAATTTAAAAAAAATGATTTTATGATTTGTACACTGATAGACAGATTCATTTATTCCAAGTGAGATTCGTTAACTATTAACTATTAACGAATGGTAAAATTGAATATGACCAAATGAATATTCGTTAATAGTTAACGGATGAACCGGTGAGGCTGAATAGACCCTCGTCTGCAACCAAATCCATTCGTTAAAAATAACTAATCCTTTCTATCAGTGTATTGAAATCGTGTGGAATGTAATTTTTTATTTATAATATAATATTTAGACATCGTTTGTTTGTCGGTAATTACCAGAATCAACGCTGTAATCACGTGAAATCGACTTCATTTCGAATTCAGGGTGTGTCACTCAATGATGGAGGTTGTATGCCCTCATTAGATCCAATGAAATAGTATACACAAGTCTGTATAATTCACTGATATATTTAGTCTATATAAATCGCTAAGAAACAAAATTTGTGCAAGCGTTAAGTAGATCACGTCCGAAATGTAAAAATACCCGCTGAACTCTGACCCCCCGATTATCACTCGCAAATGTGATTCGATAATCCCCAGAAATTGGGTCACTCTCTAAGAATATTCATCAAATCAATTGCAACCTAACTACGTCAGTGGCGAAGTACCTCGGAGTCATGACTCCTGAAAATTTTGAGTGTGAGTCGAGCATAACAACAACAATTCACGACTTTTGAAAAAATTTCCACTCGCCGCCAAAAATAGAAGCAAACCTGTGCGATCTCCCAAAGAAAACAATCCCGTCGACTCAGTTCAGGAGCGAAACGTTAAAACGGTTCCAGTCGATTTTTACCATCGGCCAGTTTTATATGAATATCTCGGAACCTAAGGGAGATAGCAAAATTTTTGTCATAACCTTTTTTGAAGAGTGAATTGAGGGCTACAAAAGAGGTGATTACGAAAATGTCGCTATCTCTCTTAGATTCGGAGATATTCCTCGAAAACTCAGATAAGCGCCAAGTTCACTTGAAACTGTTTTACCGCTTCGCTACTGAGTTTCAGTGACGTTTCTCCAAAAATACGAAGAATTACCATGTGCGCCCCTGATTAATATGCAGCCAGCGCATGTGCGCGCCAGCTATAAAAAAATTGCATCCAACGTTGGGGACATTTATTAATCTCCTAACGGTCTCGAGATTCTACTCTGACTCACGTGACATTAGCATAAATAAAAAGTCGGGAGGGAATATTTTTGGTCTTCCTGCTCCTTGATTTTTGCACCCGCACAGTTGATGGATATTTCGAGAGAAATTCGTGAGATTGAGTTCAAAAATTTCCAGTCCTTGAACCGTGGAATACTACCAGGTCGGCGGGCTACAAATTTTTGCGTTCAATCGTGAATGGAAGACTGAATGAAGTATTTATTAAAAAAGTTGTTGGATGAGTTTTGTTTTTGCTGGTGAATGGAATTTTATTTTTCATTGATTTACGATTGAAAATTGATTTTAAATCGTTAATTAATCCCCGAAAATAAACGGAGAAACAAGTTGGAGAGAAATTACCTACGCGAGAAAAAATATACCTGAACTGAGGAGGATTCAATTGGGGGATGGGTATTTCAATTCGAAAATGATTCTTTTGTATCAGGCCGGGTTGTAGCAAGCCCTCTTAAGTGTAATATAAGGGTCAGGCACTGAGTGTCAGAATATAAGGGTCAAAAAGTGTAGGTTAAAAAATTCGGGTCAGAATATAAAAGTAAAAAAAGTGGGTGTCAGGCAATGAGGGTCTAAATATAAGTCATATATTATGCTTGATCACTGTTTAGCCCTTATATGACTCTCATTAACTGACACCCACTTTTTTTACTTTTATATTCTGACCCGAATTTTTTAATCCTAAAATTCTGACCCTCATTCCTTCACCTTTACATTCAGGCCCTCAGGTTTTGACTCTAATATTCCGACCCTCATTTTTTAAGCTCCACTTTTTGACCCTTATATTCTCACACTTAGTGTCTGGCCCTTATATACACTTGAGAGCGCAAAATACTTGTGGAACTATAGAATAACGAATAGAGAGGGCTAGAAATGGAATTTTTTGCTTCCACAGAAAATGACAATTTTTTGGAACAGCAGAGTCTATTCTTGCGATAAAAGTTATTCATCCCTAGACGCTTGTCAAATGTTTACAACTTACAACGATTTTTTGTATTCAAACAAGACTTGTTTGAGAGCATGTGTCGTTCACTCTCAGAATAGGACATTAAAAAATAAGAATACGTTTTGCAAGAAATGACAAAAAAATCAGTTGTACTCCCCAGAAAATTTGTCGTTTTGCGAATATTATTCCTGATTTCAAAATTTTTTCGTCTCACTGTACTCTAAACCCCGCAGTCTCCCTGCAATTACTCCGCTCGCGGTTAATAATAACACTCATTATAAATATGGCAAAAACGCATTGCTCAATTTTAGTATTCGAAAATAGCAATTACAGCCGGGATTTTTTTAATGACACTTGCTCCACTGGAACGAGCGGAGACTGGAGCAAATAATAGGGCAACAGTGTGGCAAAAAGTTCAACCTCGCGAGAGACGCGAAATTTCGCAATTCACGCTTTGCGTGACAGTTTTTCATTGTCGTGAATGAAAGTGACATGATGAGCATCCCATTTTTTTATTCTTAAATGTAACGAACTCGAGGCGGGGTATCGGTCATAAAGAATAGCTGCATTGCTCAATTTCCGATGTATTAAATATTTTCATGTTTCTTTGTTTTCTGCGATGAAAAGTTTCATGAAAGTCCTAAAGTAAACTAAACACTAAATTGCAATGTCCGTTGGGAGAAAATGGGTGAAAAAAATCGATGAAAATTGAATTCGAGTCGTTAATTTTTTTCGTTCTTTTCTTGAATTGAATTTGATCGAAATTCAATTAAAATTTCTATTCGTTTTTTTATCGATTGCTATTGAAAATTATTTAATTGTATTCTGCGGTTGTTGAATATATATTCAATAGATGTTTATTTCATACATTTTTCAAACTTTTCTCTAAAAAAATTCTAGACCAAAAATTATTATAATTTTTTTGAAAATAATCCCGAAGTATTCGCGGATAAAAAAATTCAGTAGAAAAACCTAATGAATTCGCTAGGCAATTCTATTGGATTTGTGTTGAATTTTATATTAGTTTTTGGCTGATTCTATTGAAATGTCAATAGAAAATTCAATAGAAAATATATTCTATTGAAATATTTTCTATAGAATTTCCTCGACTCAAATTTTCCAAGTTTTTTATTTAATTTTCTCGATGAGAAGAAATAAAAATAGAATGAAAAAAATGGGAAATTTGAGCCGAGGGAATTCTATAGAAAATATCTGAAGAGAATAAGTTGGTTAATTAATTTTTTTCCTGTGTTTCCAAACAAAAAATCTAAAAAGATTCAATCACATTGAAAAATGAAAATCTATCGGTTGTTTCCTATTAAAAATCTCTCAGACAAATCATGAATCATCGCAGAAACTACTGTTGCGAATTTTCCGATATAAATAATTAAAAATAGAATTTCAATACTGTGTTCCAAAATCGCGATGTATTTCCCGTCAATTTTTCTCCGCGCGAATAAAAGCAAAAAATCCATAAAAATCATATAAATAACATGAAAATTGTAATTCCCCCGAAGAACTCTAGAAAAAACTCATCACCAAACAAAGCAAATCTCATCTAAGAATAGAACCAGGACAAAAACTAAATCATTGTCTCGTCTATTTAAATCCCAACCTTCAATCATCCTCCACCTGAAGAAAAATCTTCGACCCTAATGTAAACAAAGAGCCTCCAGCTACCGAGCGAAACCTGCAAGTCATGGACGGAAGCAGCTCGATGCTGTAATCCACAACTGATCATCGACAGAATAAAAAAAAACGATAAAACAAAGCGGAAAAATGAACGTAACTTCTCACGCAAATTGACTTGTCTCTTTGAACTTGAGTAAACAAAGGTCAAAACCCAGAGTACGTGGAACATTCCGATGTATCCTCCAGAAAAAGTGTTTTGTCGTTCGTTTTTCATCGGTTTTTTTCGTTCATTTAACTGGTTTATCATTCATTTGAAGTAGTTTGAGTAGACTTCAGTTGAATTGTTGAGCGTGATGTGGAAAAATACATTTAAAAGGCATTAAAAAATAATTATTCATCGGTGACAACTTGTGAATTTGAAAATTCTTGGGCCTTCCCCACTGTTAGAAATTTTTTGAATTTTCGTGGAAGACGTTATAATAAATCTTATGATATTGAATCGGATTTAGGGGGAAAACGGTTATGAAATTTCAAGTTTTAAGTAGAATTTATGGAAATTCATGAGTTTTCAGTGGAACATGAATATTCAGAAACAAAATTACATGAATTTTCAGTTTTTCCCTGAATTTTCCTGATTTTTCTGAATTTTTACGGAGTAATTCAACTGAAAAATCAAGTATTGTATTGATTTTCAGATCATTTGAACAGACAATCAATCGAATATTTGAGTTTTCAATGACAAGATTGGCTGATATTTCGGTGGAACTTGAACGCGATAAAAATTTCCTGAATTTGGCACGGAAAATTCAGACGAAATTTTTTTAACCCTGCTGGCGTTAATCTAGCTTGGAAACAAGTTGCTAAACGAATTAATTGGATATGTTTAAGAATATCCAACAGACCACACTATTGATTCAATCATTTTCAATCATCAAATTTGTTAATTAAATTGCGTGAGAATAATTCGAAGTATCATTTTTTTTTAATTCGTTGTTCATAAAAAAAATTTGGAAATTGTTTAAACTTTCGGAAACCTTAGTTTTTTAGACGTGAAATCAATTTCTGCTAACATTACAAATATGAATAAATTTATTATGATTCCGAACGAATGGTTTTTGTCGTGGAAAATTGACAGCTTATAAATTACTTACAAAAAATGCTCGAAATTTCCAGAAATTGCAACTTTTTAAATTATTCCATCAATCTTTTTCCAAAAGTGAACTACCTAATTTTTTTTCAGATTTCTAAAATGGTTTCTTTCAAATTCAGACCTGCAAAGTTTAAATAACAAAATCCATTCCATTTAATTGTCGACAGAGAGTCTCTTTCTCTTTATTTTTCATTAAAAAAAATTTCAAACGAAAAAACTTGAAAAATTCCCGCCAAGGAATTTCTATAGAAAATCCCGCAATAGAATAAGTTGTCCAGAAAAATCGAATTAAATTCATTTTCTGTATGAAATATCCTCCATTGAACATTTCCTCCGAAAAAACCTCCTGAATCCGAAAGAACTAACAAAAACTCCATTTGAAATTCAATAGAATTTCCCAGAGAATTCGGTAGGTTTTTCGATGAAGTTTCTTCCCATGCGCGGTTTCAAGAAAATCCCACGACTCGAGTGTTAATTACTGTTTAATGAATTTTATTGAAGAATCGTTACGACGAGATAATTAGTAATTGAAGAATGAGGAAGTGAACGTTGATGATACGACGAATCGATGACACGAGAACAATCGTGTTTTTTTTCAATAGTTTGATTAAACATCTCAGAAAAAATTTATTGCAATCATGATTTTTATTATTTCTTATATATCACATGTTGGCAATATTTACAATGCGAATAGAAAATTTTCCCGTGGAAAATAAATCGATATTATCCGCAAGTTACGTCGTATGTCATAGTTATTGTGTAATCGTTATAGACGAAAATAGTTTGAATTCACTCATTTACGTGAATCTAAATACTGTTTGGATCGACAACTCCAGTAGTTTTCCATTGAAATTGCAGTTGCTCTGGCTTTTTCATTGTTTTTTCTTCATTTTTGTTTGTTTAAAGGGCTCAATTTATTATTAAATTTACACTGACGTTGGCTTTATACAATGTTTGACATTTCTGTTTGTATTTTAAAGAAGTTTTTGGCCTTCAACGCGTCTGATAAAATTCAATAGAAATCCTAGCGAATTCGCTACAAAATTCCATTAGAATTCTATGGAAAAATTCTACCTATTTTGCACTGATTCTGTTGCATATTAGGTAGCAAAAACACAGAGAGAAATATTCCATAAAAATTACGTATCATTTCCGTAATTCTGGAGCGAAATGTGGTTCTAGGAAATTTTACGGAACTGTCACGGAATTTTTCAAGTTCTCCGGAATTTTTATCTGAATCTCCTGTGAAAGCAAATCTCTCCGTGAAGTCAATATATTTTGAATTTTTGTTCGAATTTTTCCCTTAAGATTTTTTCTATTAGAATTATTGGATTTTACTTTATTCCGCATTACAGAATCCGAATAGAAAAAACTTAGAAAATTGATGGCCAAGCATTCTTACAGAACAAATCTCAAGACAATAATTCAAACAGAAATTCTAAATCTATTGACTTTTTCTTATCGAATATCCAATAGATTCAACTCAAAAAACAAATAGAATGTTTCAACAGAATTCCAATAGAATTTTCTATCGAATTTGCAAAGTTTTCCATTGAATTTTTCCATCCGTGAACTTATTTAAGAATTTGTAATATTGTTGATCGTACTGTGGACAATTCCATAAACTGCGATCAAAATCTCGATTTCGTGCTTCTGATTTCACTCTTTATGCTTCGCTTGTTCCAGAGTATTGCAAATGTCAAGAGGGATGCGTTACTCCCCATCATATGGGGCCTCAACGGCATCATCACCAGCACAAACAGCCAACCACTAGTGAGAATGACTGCCAGAGAGTTTATGTTTGGGTACAAATCGACTCTAGTCACACTTGGAAATACTGTTATGTCGTCTTGGATTAAGTTCGATAAATTGGGACTCATAGATAGGGTAAGAATTACTTAAAAATATAATCAATTGAACTCATTCAATAATATTATCCCTGAAATCTCATAAAAATGACAATTTTTAGTCGAATTCAGTGGCGAAGCGGTAAAACGCTTGGCGCTTACCTGAATTTTCGAGGAATATCTCCGAATTTAAAGGAGATAGCGAAATTTTCGTAATGCCTTTTTTTATAGCTCACAATTTTCTTCACAAAAAAGGTTGTGACAAATATTTTGCTATCTCCCGTAGATTCCGAGATATTCCCTGAAAATAACTACATTTAATTATTCAGAGAATTATTAAATCAATTAATTAATTTTCTTTTACTTCCTTTCATTTTATTGCATTTTTCACTAGTCTTGGCAAAAATTCCGGCTAGACTGCACTATTACAAAATTCTCGGAGTGAATTTCAATATAAAATTCTCTCCCTAAAGTAAATCAACATTGATTATTCATAGAATTGAAAAAACTCAGTAATTAATGAATGCATTCAATTTCTGTTATTTCCTCTCATTTTATCGCATTTTTCACTAGAGAAAAACGATGACAAAATTCTCGGAGTGAATTTCAATATGAAATTCTCTCCATAAAACAAATCAAATGCCTAAAAAGTGTTGAAATTGTAATCACCTGTTTCGAATGAAATTCAGAGAGTTGAAATTTTGAAACTTCGATCTTACTTCGATCTCCTCCAGCCCAGCAAATGGAGATTGACATTCAATTTCACAGCTGGGGAATGAGGTGAAAGATTTTCAGTATTAGATGAATTTTGTGTCAATCACAGAGTGCAGAATGGAATTGACATTCTCTCCCTTTTCGGTGTGCCATTACCAATCAATTGACACGAGTAAAACGACGGATTAATTCACAAATCTTGGTGATTTCACTCGATTAAAGAATTCAAATGAATTCAGGCATTCACACTCTCGACATCAGGTCCCAGAATTTTTTTACATGTGGCATTTGAGGCTCAATCAAGATTGAATTAATTCCCATTGATAATTAATCGATCAGATGTACGACTTTGATGGAGACTTCGAGACTGTCTACACCGGTGAAACCGACGTTCGATTGACTGGTCTCATCGACAAATACAATGGAGACGTTAATCTCCCGCAGTGGACCGGAAAATGCGCCAACGTCAACAAGGCCAGTGATGGAACGAAATTCGCAAGTTATATCGAGCCCAATGACACACTTGTGTTCTTCCGGAAGAGCCTCTGCAGGGCAGCAAAAATGGTGAATACATTATCCGAAATCCCGGATTCTTACATTCATTTATTCTTAATAAATGATCGCGCATGAAAATTTTCAATAGAAAACCTACACTGAGAGAAAATCGACAAAGTTCTCAAACAAGTTTTACTTGCGCCAAGAAAATAGTTTTTTGAAAATTATCAAAAAAGGATTTTTTTGGGCCAAACATGCAGAGAGTGCGCCGGAATGAAAAATTTTTGTCGCAAAAATAGATTTAGTAGTTAAAAAAAAATTGCATTCTCTGTACACGCAAGAAATGTCATTTCTAGCACTACTCCTTCGTTATTCGATACTCCCATCCGTATTTTGCTCCCGAAAAATCTTTGTTTTATGCGAAGCAAGGGATAGTAGTTTTTCGTTTCAACTGTCTAATAATCACAGCCAAGAAATGAACCCTTAAATGAAACAATAATAATGATATGATAGCAATCTTGTAACTGAGGGATAAAATATTTGTTGATAAATTTTCCTCTATATGAGATATTTTCATCCTGAAAAGGCACCGTCTGGTGTGAATTATCCGCCTCTTGAGCCAAATATTTCGACAACGTGTTTGTTTTTCTCTCAGTGTAGCGAATTCGCTAGCAAAATTCTATTCTAATTCCGTAGGAATTCTATTGAAAAATTCTATGTTTTTTGCGTCGATTCTATTGGATATTCAATCAGAAACAGTCAATAGATTTAGAATTTCTGTTTTAATCGTGATATATTGTGACTGATATATTGTAACTTTTACTCGATAACAAACGTTCCAATTTGCCCCCGTAATTTTCCCATCTCAACTAGTCAATAAACTTTCAAGACTCTTCTCGATCCGTTCGTAGACTCGATAACGACCGATGACATAACGACAACAAAAACATAAACCCATTCTGATCGATCAAGAGACATTATCCGTCTGCAAGATGTCAATTAATCACCCGGGAAAATGAATTTTTTGTCTCGTTACAAAGTTACACATCTGCGTATACCATGCAATATTCATGATTGAATTGAATCCATTAATCGGCAATATTCACATGCGCAGGTGAGAATAGGTGAGAAAGATGTGAAGGGTCTGCACGCGTATCAGTACAAATTCATGGAGGACGAGCTTGACAATGGTGTCAATAACACGGAAAACGAGTGCTTCTGTCGTCAGGGACGCTGTCTGCAGCCTGGACTCATCGACGTCACCGATTGTTATTACGGTGAGTACATTGATTCCGGGGTATTTGTTCGTCGGTGTGATGATGAAAATGTGAGTCATTGTTGAATATACCATAAGGGAATTTACCACTGGTAATTGCTGTTGTTTTCCTATTTGCTGGAAATGCATTGATGCGGGGGATAAAAAAACCGGTGATGATTGCGTTAGGGGAATTTATTTGTCATTCATTGGATTTTATGTCTTGTTTGCTATTGGAAAAACAAAGTAACGAAATGGAATCGAACGAGTTTATTTATTTATTTATTTATTTATTTATTTATTTATTCATTCATCCGTTTACTTATTTATTCATTTATTTATATAACAAGTTGATGAGTTGCTTAGGACAAAAATTCTGAGAGACGATTTTTACTGCAAATTTCGACAACTGCTATAAAGTCTCTTGATATTTATTGCGGGTGGCAGTTGAACAATTAAGAAACAAGTAGACAATTGCATTTTTTTAGATAAATGAGTATAGTTATTGTTGCTAATAAATTAGCAATTTGCTTCCGAATGGGTTCTCTTTTTTAAATTCTTATTTCACTATTCTCTTCTTCTATTTTTTCGTGTCATAGTACTATCAACAATTGAAATGCCATCGAAATTTTGCGTATTATTTCGTTCTGTCAAATAATTCTACATTGAGACCCTCTCAAGACTCGAATTCGTTTTCAGTCCGGGTTTAATCAAGGTTCAATCAAGGTTTAATCAGTGTATAGCCGGGATTTAATCAGGGTTTATTCAGGATTTAGCCAGAGTTTAACCCAGGTTCTGTCAGAAGTTAGTCGAGGCCATGAATCAATATGAATAAGTATTCAACATAATAGACTAGTACCTGAGGTTAATAGAGATAGAGATTTTGATATAAAAAGCTCATGACGGTTTTGTGTAACTTGATAAGCAATGATGCTGTTCTCACCATTTTTCAACTAGATTAAGAAGCCATTGAAATATAGTTTCCAAGCCCTGATTTAATTGCTATTACTGATGATTATTTCAGTAATCATGAAAAAACCGATTTTCTCTTTCAAATCGCACAAACAATGTGCTGTCACTCAACAACAAATTGTGCGACCCCCATCATATTCTCATAGAGTCCGAACGGTATTGTGATCAATTTTTTGAGCCATGAATAATTTCATTTTGATGTCTATTTTTTGAGAGATCGTTGGAAAATCGATTTTATCCATCGAAAAATTTAATTTTAATCGGTGTCAATGAATAGAGCTTATTAAAGTCTATATTCATGAGAAAAATCATGAAATTGCATTGATCCCTCATGAGACAATGAGAAAAAAAAAAAGAAAAACAGACCACATACCCTAAAAAAAAATTAGAAACTTAAACGTGAATTTGAGAAATGAAAACTTAAATTTCAAAAATGTAATTTTTCAACTTATTATCCTTAAAAAATGGGTGATAATTACGTCTAGAGAATTCATTAATCTTATTCATAGAATTTTATGTGTCTTATCTGCTACTGGACGCACAAAACACCAAAATAAGACTGAACGAGTTAATTTTTTGCTTCTTTTATAAAAATGAAAGAAAATTCGATAATTGCGTTGAAGAATAAATTAATAAATGAATAATATTTGAATAGTGAATTGTCTTTTTTATGAGTAATTTTTGTGAGAGATAATTTCGTCGGCTGTAGAAAAAGTCTCTCGGAATTTTGCCGTAGAAAAATGTTGTCTTCATTTTATTATCCTGGCAAGATTATTAAATTTCATTTTAATGAATTTTCAGGCTTCCCAATAGCCCTCTCCTACCCCCACTTCTACAAATCCGATCCATCGTTACTGGACTCTGTAATTGGTCTTAAACCCAATCAAGAAGCTCACGAGTCTTACTTCTACATTCAACCGAAATCCGGTTTACCAGTCGACCTTGCATTTCGCTTTCAAATTAACATGGCACTCCAGGATATCAGCAGCATCGCCAGAGTCGAGCGCTTCTCCGACATGGTTCTACCCCTCCTCTGGTTCGAAATTGTAAGTAGTAAAGATAGCGATAGGGAAATTAATGCACCGGGGGGAAAAATCGTGAGCTGATCTGCTTCAGTTGCAAAATAAAAACAGGAAGAGGAGAAAAAATGCTTGAAATATGCGGTTGAGGATAAACATGAGAAAAATATTTTTAAAAACAAGAGGCGAGGTGCATAAAAAGGATTGACAATGTTGGTGATGAAGAGAATTTAATTTGTCGTCACTTGTGCGTAAAGTGAAATTATGCGCACGCGGATTTTTTTTAAATTACGAGCATTTTCTGTGAATGATTTATAAACAATTAATTCTCCACCTTAAAAATCATTTATTCGGAATCGTATCAAATTTATTTATATTAAGAATTTTGCCAGAAATAGATTGTACGCTCAAAAAATTTAGGTTTCCGAAACTTTAGACATTTTTATATTTATTTATAAACAACGAATGTTAAAAAAAATTATGTTCTGGTTCATCTCCATGTTGTTAATTACCCAAAAATATCAAGGTTTAAAAAAATACCAGTTCTGTGCAAAATGTAATTTGAATGACGCTGAATATTCATCATTTTCTTCAAATTTGTCTCAGGCAGTTTAATTGACAAATTCGATGATTGAAAATGGTTGAGTCTGTANTTTTACTGCAAATTTCGACAACTGCTATAAAGTCTCTTGATATTTATTGCGGGTGGCAGTTGAACAATTAAGAAACAAGTAGACAATTGCATTTTTTTAGATAAATGAGTATAGTTATTGTTGCTAATAAATTAGCAATTTGCTTCCGAATGGGTTCTCTTTTTTAAATTCTTATTTCACTATTCTCTTCTTCTATTTTTTCGTGTCATAGTACTATCAACAATTGAAATGCCATCGAAATTTTGCGTATTATTTCGTTCTGTCAAATAATTCTACATTGAGACCCTCTCAAGACTCGAATTCGTTTTCAGTCCGGGTTTAATCAAGGTTCAATCAAGGTTTAATCAGTGTATAGCCGGGATTTAATCAGGGTTTATTCAGGATTTAGCCAGAGTTTAACCCAGATTCTGTCAGAAGTTAGTCGAGGCCATGAATCAATATGAATAAGTATTCAACATAATAGACTAGTACCTGAGGTTAATAGAGATAGAGATTTTGATATAAAAAGCTCATGACGGTTTTGTGTAACTTGATAAGCAATGATGCTGTTCTCACCATTTTTCAACTAGATTAAGAAGCCATTGAAATATAGTTTCCAAGCCCTGATTTAATTGCTATTACTGATGATTATTTCAGTAATCATGAAAAAACCGATTTTCTCTTTCAAATCGCACAAACAATGTGCTGTCACTCAACAACAAATTGTGCGACCCCCATCATATTCTCATAGAGTCCGAACGGTATTGTGATCAATTTTTTGAGCCATGAATAATTTCATTTTGATGTCTATTTTTTGAGAGATCGTTGGAAAATCGATTTTATCCATCGAAAAATTTAATTTTAATCGGTGTCAATGAATAGAGCTTATTAAAGTCTATATTCATGAGAAAAATCATGAAATTGCATTGATCCCTCATGAGACAATGAGAAAAAAAAAAAGAAAAACAGACCACATACCCTAAAAAAAAATTAGAAACTTAAACGTGAATTTGAGAAATGAAAACTTAAATTTCAAAAATGTAATTTTTCAACTTATTATCCTTAAAAAATGGGTGATAATTACGTCTAGAGAATTCATTAATCTTATTCATAGAATTTTATGTGTCTTATCTGCTACTGGACGCACAAAACACCAAAATAAGACTGAACGAGTTAATTTTTTGCTTCTTTTATAAAAATGAAAGAAAATTCGATAATTGCGTTGAAGAATAAATTAATAAATGAATAATATTTGAATAGTGAATTGTCTTTTTTATGAGTAATTTTTGTGAGAGATAATTTCGTCGGCTGTAGAAAAAGTCTCTCGGAATTTTGCCGTAGAAAAATGTTGTCTTCATTTTATTATCCTGGCAAGATTATTAAATTTCATTTTAATGAATTTTCAGGCTTCCCAATAGCCCTCTCCTACCCCCACTTCTACAAATCCGATCCATCGTTACTGGACTCTGTAATTGGTCTTAAACCCAATCAAGAAGCTCACGAGTCTTACTTCTACATTCAACCGAAATCCGGTTTACCAGTCGACCTTGCATTTCGCTTTCAAATTAACATGGCACTCCAGGATATCAGCAGCATCGCCAGAGTCGAGCGCTTCTCCGACATGGTTCTACCCCTCCTCTGGTTCGAAATTGTAAGTAGTAAAGATAGCGATAGGGAAATTAATGCACCGGGGGGAAAAATCGTGAGCTGATCTGCTTCAGTTGCAAAATAAAAACAGGAAGAGGAGAAAAAATGCTTGAAATATGCGGTTGAGGATAAACATGAGAAAAATATTTTTAAAAACAAGAGGCGAGGTGCATAAAAAGGATTGACAATGTTGGTGATGAAGAGAATTTAATTTGTCGTCACTTGTGCGTAAAGTGAAATTATGCGCACGCGGATTTTTTTTAAATTACGAGCATTTTCTGTGAATGATTTATAAACAATTAATTCTCCACCTTAAAAATCATTTATTCGGAATCGTATCAAATTTATTTATATTAAGAATTTTGCCAGAAATAGATTGTACGCTCAAAAAATTTAGGTTTCCGAAACTTTAGACATTTTTATATTTATTTATAAACAACGAATGTTAAAAAAAATTATGTTCTGGTTCATCTCCATGTTGTTAATTACCCAAAAATATCAAGGTTTAAAAAAATACCAGTTCTGTGCAAAATGTAATTTGAATGACGCTGAATATTCATCATTTTCTTCAAATTTGTCTCAGGCAGTTTAATTGACAAATTCGATGATTGAAAATGGTTGAGTCTGTAGTGTGGTCTATACCAAACTAAAAAATACTGGGATATCCTTAATTCAAAAATTTCAAGGATTCTTCACTAGGGGAAAAATCTTCAAAGCCTTTCGCAATTTTTGGAATAATTTTTGAAATAACTTTCTCAAGTACTTCGATGAAACTTGAACATTCTTTCACGAAAAATGCTTTCGTAACCAGTTTTGTTTGCGAAAAATGCCACTGAATTCCGCGTGCGTTCTCCACAATGAGGAAAACTGGATAAATACCCTGATTATCTGCAACCTTCTCAGAAAAAAGTGAAAAACAAATCTCTGAGTTAATTACCCTCTTCTACCGGCGCATATCTTCTCCTCCAATAATTAGACATAAAAAGTAGTTCATTATTTGTTGCATTACATTCTACGCAGACGTCCTTCCGCATAATTTCCTCTTGATTCACGTCTGCATCGATAGGTATGACCCTGATGGACTCAGCAAAATGTCGTGGATTGATTCAGCCTGAATGTATTTACGATCACATGTGGCTTTGTCAGAACATGTCTTTGTGAAAATAATCCACAGAATAAAATTAATGCCACCTTCACGATTTTGTGTGCAATAACCACAGAATTAATTAATTCTGTTAATTTATTCTTCCAATCATTATGAACTCAAATAATCATGATTATGAGTACAAAAAAACAAAAAAATAAATTTGAATTATATTCTACTCGATGACTATGGCTTTGTCCCGGACATGAAGCTCCGGCGGAATTCGACTGATTTTAGATAAATATTTCCAGAGAATAAACTAACCCATTGCGCTTAATAATTTTAATATTCAAATGAATATAACCATTTTGTAAAATTCGCTAAACAGATTTTCGGATTTTTCTCGAAATTAAGAATAGGAATTTCTATTGCTTTTCTATTTGAACTCTATAGAAATTTCTAAACATTAGAAAAAATTAAACAAAAATGCATGAAAAATTTGAGCCGAGATTTTTTTTTATAGAAAATTGAGATGTTGATTTTTCTATATTATTTATTCTGTTGGGATTTTTTCTATAAGAATAACAATTGTAAGATGAAAAATTCAGCTTTAGTTACCTCATTCCTCCTTCAATCCCTAAGATCAGTCAATTAATCTCGCTCGCTTTTTCCGTTTTTTTTTATTTAAGCATTCAAACCATGTAGTTTATTCTGCTATAAAAAAATTACAAAAATACAAATGTGTTTACAGAATAATTCTGTACTATTCGTAACGATTTGCATCACTTCTTCAAATATTCAATCCTGAGTTCAAGAAGGAATCAATGTTTGAGAACATTTCTATTCAATTTCTTTAAGAAGATTTTGATTTCATAGGGTGGGGGGAGCCCTCTCCGGTAAAATCATAACTGGAGTTCATCCTAACGATCAACCTCTCAATTACTTCCAGGGAATGTACGAGCTCCCAGAGTTCATGAACAACCGGTTCTTCCTCTACCTGAACGTCCTCCCAGTCTTCCAGGACGTGGCATGCTACGCTCTATTCCTGGGAGGCACAATATTCCTCATCTTCAGTGTCGTGAAGATTCTCCTGTACCGACCAAAAGGCGCGACGCAGACACCAGCCCAGTGGTTCGAGACGGAGCTCCAGAGGAAGAGGCTGCACTTCCTCAACGAAAATCGTAATTCCTTCAGGGCGAGGCAGATGGACACCTACTACAACTCCCTGCTCGAGCCCAGAGAAGAAATGACACCAATGACTGCTATCGAGAATACTGAGTTCAAGGAAGAGGATCTCGTCTAATTCATCTCCCTAATTTAATTTATTGAATTATTTTTAATTAATTAGGAGAGATGACAAGAAAATTAAGGGGTGGTTCACCTCGCGAAAAAAAACTTTTCGCTTTTCGAGAAAAAAAATTTATTAATCAAAAAATTAATTTAAAAAAATCCCCAACATAGTTTTTTTAATGTGATCACAAATTTTCGTTCCTTAATTATGAAAAATGCGAGTTTATGCATAATATTTGGGTAAATTTTTTTTTCCAGATACTAATCGAAATTTTGATAAACGAAAATTTTCGTTTTTTATAATTAAGAAGGAAAAATTGTGATCATAATCAAAACACTGTTTTTAAAAAATATTGAGTTAACTTGTCGATTAAAACAAATTTGAATCCTTCAAAAATCACGCGGAAAATAGTATTAAAAAATGTTTTTTCTTGAAAAACAAAAAAGTTTTTTCTCGGGGTGAGCCTCCCCTGAATCATCTAATCTCAGAGCTCGAGTTGTGCCCCAAAACTCGCGCCCGTTCATACGTTTTTTCGCATAGAAGAGATGCATTGCGCCCCCAACATTTTTCTATTCCATTTTTATATCAAATGTTACGCAATTTTTGTACTTTTCTACGCGACAAAAAAAACGTATCGCACGTCGACGAAATAAAGTATTTCAAGTGGCTCATGTGAAACTGATAATGAAACAGTATTCGAGTGCTTTCTCCTCGATTTCAACACTCTCCAATGATATTGGAGAACAGACTCGAGTGAGGAAACTATAAAATTTTCAAGATTAATTAATGTGAAAAAAACTCTAGGAGATTTTCATCGAAAATCTTCATTGAAAGCTCTTCTTCGTCATCAGACCTAAATCACAAAAAATTGTAAATATTGTACATAAATTTAGGGTTTAGATTTTCACCATTATGTCAGATTGAATTTTTTAATGGAAAAATTTATGTCGGACAAAAACCTCAGGTATAGAGTGAGAAAAGATGTTTGAGGTCACGTACGAAAAAGTTTCAAGAAAAACGTAGCGAATTCGATAGAAAATTCTACGGAATTTCTATTGAAGTTTTATTAAAAGATTAATCAGTTTTTAATCGATTTCTCATGGAAAAACTTAGTGGAATTTCATATTTCTGTACAACTTACTCTATTGGGATTTCCTCAACATGAATTTTCTACATTTTTTCCAGTCTATTTTCTTCTCTTATCTTTTAAAGAATCAAACGAAAACATTAAGATTTTCCGAACCAAAAAATTTCTGTATAAAATATCCCAATTGAATAAGTTGAATAGAGAAATCTAATTCTATTAAAAATTACAATGGAAATCCAACGAAATGATCTACTGAATTCGCTAGGTTATTCTACGAAATTCCTTCGCATGTGTATGAATCTCACTGCACATTTTTGTTATTGTTTATGTGCATCAGCAGTCCCTCGATAATTCGATGTATTTTTCCTCAACGAATGGGAGGGAAATTCTTAATGCAAGGCGAGCAATAATCTTGCCCTTTTTTATTTATATTCGATTAACTATTTTTTAGCCAATGGAGCCCTAACGCTTCAAACTCGGTTTATGGATATTGTTTTCTTGTTCATAACGAAAAACAGAATCAGTTAATGTTAACGATCAATTATTCTCCTGAGGCCTAGCTCATATGTTATTTCTGAATTTAATCCTTCGTCGCTTGTCACGATGGAGATGATGTGAATCTTGCCCGGACAGTGTATTGCTCAATAAATAATTTTTTTATTATAAAAAATGTCCTTAATTTCTTCCTATTCTTCAACAATTCCTGTTAAATGCTGCATTGTTTTTTTTGGGTGAAATTTTGGATAAACTTCTTGGAAATTATAATCACATTATTGTTCCACTAGAACTTCAATGGATTTCGTCATTAGAAATCCAAAATTATATGAAAAAATCAATGGAAACTGCCAATTTCAATTCAATTGCTCCATGAAAATTAATAGAAATCAGAGAAATTCAGGTAAATATATTCTTGAGTCTTAAAATAATTGAAAGTTCAACGTCATTGGACACTGAATGTTCACGTTTTGGTTGAAAACTCAAATAAGTTCGGGAATTCTCGTCTTCCTGCTCTTCAAAAATTTCCAATTTCATTAAATTTTCAGTGAAATCTGAAACTTCAGAATTTTTCCCCCTTGGATCGAAATCAATATCACTTTCCTGAAAATGCCTAGTCAACAATCAATGAAATTTCAATTTTTTCCCAACGGTGTATGATTCCCAACAAAATCAACTGATGACATTTTGGCGAATGCATGTATTTTCCTTCAATCCAGATACATGGATAATTACACAATGATATCACGTAAAGTGTCAATCCGTGATTTAAAATTTATTGTTTATTACGTATTGGTGACGGTACAATGTTGATATTGCTCGTCAACTTCGAATATCGAAGACGTGAATTGATTTCTCTTGTTCCTTGAAGCTCGATCGAAAATGCCATTGAATGATGGGTGAAAATAATATCGATGATGATAATTACGTGCTAGTTGATAAATGTTATTTTGATTTGCATCAGAGCATCAGAGAGATTTGCATCGAGCATTAGCAAGTTGAGATCTTCCAGCCCTAGGGCATTTTTCTTTAAACAAATTATCAGTTTGTACTTTTGACAGTATTTTTCATTCAAATATTACATTATTCACTCGAAGAGTAACGAAAAATCATTCAATTATTCACCAATGCTAAAGAGAATGAAAATCCTCCGTTCAATTGGAAAATTACTCAATCGACTTTTACCTCAATTTTATTTGGTCATTAAACTGGCTATATTCTCGGAAATACTTTCATATTTTATTCATCCCTCTACATTCACACTATTGCAATTTGAAGATGACGCGTTCGAAAATAAATTAAATAGAAAAAATATAAATACAAAAAAAAGAAGAAGAGTAGAATAACAAAGACAATTATTGAATGAAGCTGGGGAAAAAAATAATAAATTAAAGTTTCTCCACAGATAGACACAGGAATTCTTGCCAATAATTGCAATAGTGTAAATACATCAGTGGCCATTATCATCATTACCTCTCTCTTCATATTTTTCTCCACACACTGAAATAATTTCCACTCCCTTAAGATTTAATTGCCTCAAAAACAAATGAAAATTTGTGTTTTATCGCTGATATTATATACACGAGTTTATCATAAATTTTCATCTCTTCAAATACGTGAAATTTCATGCACTCTCTCATTATTCATAATTTTTTAAAAATCATTTTTTTAATCAATTGACTCACTCTCAGGAGAAAATATTTCATTATTGTTTATTCGAGAACACATTCAGCGCATATTTTCACGCATTCGAAGACACTTTCTAACACACAGTACATTTAAATACAATAATTCACACACTCATACTAAAAAAAAATTCTTGATTTTTATTTTTTATCATTTTTTTTTCGTTTTTTGACGTTTATTTTTGCTTTTAGTTAAATGTCTGGGCGAAAAATACTAATTTGATTCATGTGAAACTAAAGTTCAACAAATTAGTCACTTTATAAACACGTAAGTTTTTTTTTTAATCTTTGCCTCAAAGACTATAGTACGATCTAGAACTTAAATTCTTTTTTTGCTTTGTTTATTTTTAATATTTTTTTTTCTTTTGCTTTTCCATCAATTCATCCGTTAATAGGGATATAATATATATTTAGATAGAATATACACAAGTTCTTCAACAGTGGAATTATCTACCCAATTATTAACCACTGTTTTTAATTATTGTTATCACATTAACGTTTTTCTTAATGTTTCAACATTTTGTTTTTTCATCTCGCTAATTTTGTCTTCACAGCTCTCAACGGCACTTTCACAGCAACCTCAACGTTGAATTTAGAATGTCGCCGAAATGATATAAAATGCGCAAACTTACCAAGAATGCCTTAATAAATTACTTCATTTTTTTTTTAATTTCCTTTTTGGTTTTTGTTCCTCATGCCAGAATAATTATTCTTGAATGATTTTTCGATCTAAATGTACAAAACACTCACTACCTCCACCTTTACAGAAATGCTCGAGGATATTGCTTCGAAAGCTGTCTTTTGATGTTATTCGAAGATCTCCAGGTGTTTAACGCCTTTTGCTGTGACGTCTTGCGAATTTTCGACTTTTTCTGTGAAGAAAAATCATTGATTTCGTTAGATCAACATTTATTTTGCTGCAGAGATCATCGAAAGGATAAAAGACGATTTTTTATCAATATAATAGTAAAATAATTAAACGCACTTAATGGATTTTTCATAGAGGATTTTAATCGAAAATGTTTACAGATCAAATGAGTCAGATTTAATTTTAAAGCCGGAAAAAATATCTTCAAAATGAAAAAAAAAAATTCAATTTCACTTTGACGATTTCGATTTATCGGCGATTAAAAGAGAGGCCATTTTAACCCTTTCTCTCTTAAAAAAAAAAACAGTTAAGAGCAATAAATTGAAGAAATCAATATTTAATAACTATTAACAGATTTGAAAACAGTATTGAAGTTGATGGAAACAGGAGTAAATATGAAGAAATTAAATCTTGAAGCAAATATTTTCAATTCAGCAACATACCTCACTCGACTTGGTGATGGAACTGGTGCATGTTCAGCAATAACAGGCAGTACAGATGTGAATTTGTCAGTTGGTCGTAGCAATCTAGCAGTTCGTGATGACAATCGCCAGATGAGTCTCTGCCTGTGTGGTGTTTGCTCTTGTGCATTGTACTTGCTCAATATTGCCCCGACGAGTTCGTGAGTTGAGAAGAAACTCTCATCGGAAATCTGTAAATTCATTTGAACATAGAATTTTTCATTTATTTTTTCCATTTTTTTTTCTAGTCTTTAATCTTCTTTCTAAACTCGAAAAGATCATTTTCCCAAAAGAGTCTGTCTTATTTTTACATTTTTAGATTAATTATTATTTATAATACTAGGCTGTCGATTGAGCCCAAACTCAATCAGAATGTTTCTATTCATATTAATATTCATTCCGAATTTATTCCAGGATTTAATCTCCAAAATTGAAGTCACGTTTATACTACTTTAAAAAATATGACAAAAGAGAATAGAATGAACGAAGAATTATCTGGCAATAACAAACTTCTGAACGTAAATATCATATTTAATGTACCTTGGACATCTTCTGGAGTTCCGCAGCAAATTCCACAAGCCTGAGCATCTGCTGGGCTGGGGTGGGTTCAATGTCCATCGAGGAAGGCCCCGGAACAGCGGTTACAGGTGTTGCATCTGCATGGGCGTCCAGACGGTTGACAGCCGAGTCCAGATAAGTGCAAATCAACACCAGTGCAACTTCAGAGGGTCTCAGGCTGGCGCAACTACCATCGCAGGCAACCATCTCCAGCCTCAAGAGCAGTTCTGACTCCTGAGTACAAAATGTTTTCATAATTTGGGGAATTCATGTCAGTAATTCTATTCAAGATATGATTCTGCGACATAAGAACATGTTGAAATACTTGGAATTAATTTCAAACGTCACGACTGGATATACTAATTAAAATCTTATTAATAATAAAGTAATTAAATAAAATTCATGTGAATGGGATGAACATGTCGAAGTAAAGATTATATTCAAATTTAAATTCGATTTATTCACATTAGCATTCAAATAAAATAAATTGTTTGTTGATTATTAATAAATGGCTCTTTAATGCTAATAACGTCTCTATTATTTAAATATGGGTCTAGTCACTTATAATAAATAGGCAAATTTCAAATGAAGAGTTTGATTTAATGCAAAGGCTCTATTTCTCTGACTGTAATGCAGAATTTTCATTCTCACAAAATTAGTGTTTTCAACAGCATATCCCTTCGTTTATTATTTTATGACGTTCTTCTTTTATTTTTATTATTATCATCTCTTTTTAAACTTCCCTTCTAGAACCCTCCACCTGACATTTTTGCTCCAAAATGTAACATAAAGTCATTCTTCCACTGGAAGATATGCATTCCACAATCCCCATTATCTCAAAACTAAAGACAATGAACTCTCCAGAAGTCATGAATTAATCAACTCACCGTGACAAGACTGGCATAAAGCTCGCCGAGACCCATCTGGGATGCAGCGGCTTGGAACATAACGTGAAAAAGACGAAGAAATGTGAGAGCTGTGATGGGTGTAGTACCAGGTGCCCACTCGAGTTTGGCCCTTATCAGATCGGACATGCGTTTTAGATCGCCACCAGTGCATTTACACTGGGAAATTGATACGAGATGATCGGCATCAAGGGACTGGGCCATTTGGACGGCAGCTATGTGAAACGAGGATACACTGATGCAGGCCATGTGCTTTGGTCTCGCTTTCATTTTAGTTAGAAAACGATCCATCAGGTTAATTGCGATGAATAATACATCTGAGGGCAGGTCGTACCAGACTTTGAGGCAGCGCAGAACGTGGGCCGATCCATCCCTGGCGCCGATAGTTATCTCATCGTTCTAGATGACAATGGTAAAGATCAATTAATATTTGTAATGCCGTTATTAGCCATTCTCAATCATTAAATTTGTTAATTAAATAGCGTGAGAAAAAATTGAAAAAAAAATGAATTTTCAGCGTCATTATAATTACATTTTGCATGGAATTATTATTCTTGAACATTAAATAATTGAAATTGTTTAAACTTTTGGAAACCTTATTTTTTTTTAGGTTTGAAATTGATTTCTAGAGTTAGGTTCACAAATTAATGAATTACTTAATGAAGACTTACTTGAGTGGCAACGGGCAGTTGGAGGTTCGGCTGATACTTGAGCTCGAGGACAAGGGCCTCTTGGAGCTGCTCAAGGAGGGAGTGGATTGCATCCGGTACAGGCGAGCCTGATGTGTCCATTCCTGCCATGTGTGACCAGCTGATTTTAACGAGGTTTTGAAGGGTAGATACAGACGTAACTACAGTCTCAGTAGCTGTCACTCTTGGAGGATGTAGTATGGCCTGCGATTACTCGCTAGTCACACTACAAGAATGGCCCAGCTGGCTAGCCTGGTATCTGCAACAATGTCAAATGAAGAGAACATTAAGTTTATCTCATTAAAAAAAACAGCTGAAACAGAAATTATCGACGGAATGAAAATCTCATTCCAGGTGTTAACTGCGAAAAAGAAAACGTGAACAACTGATTTGTTCTTCCCTTTTGTCGCCTGTTTATGAGCATTTCAGATATCCGTGATGATAATGAGTTTAAAGATCCTGTTTACGAGGTATTAATGCGACCATTTGAGAATCAGGAAGCACTGCATACGCTAAGAATAAATTGAATCTCAGGAAAACATAACAATTTCGTAATTGGAGTGGATTTGAAAAGCGGGGGAACATCAAGGCCAAGATTGACAGGAGTATAGTCGACGTATAATGATATATGACGTATAGTCGCACATAGCAATGTTTACATACACCTACACTCCCTCGATTTTATCAATGCACTCTCGACAAGTGTCTAAAGTGCGAATGGCTGATACCAATCCACAGAATTTTCTTAAATGCCTGCATGTAGTTGTGGGGTTAAGAAACTCTTCCCCAACAACAACTGCGTCCACTTCATTAACTCGAACGTACGTCGTAAATTGTCATGTGTAGGACGTAAACAAAAGAAAATGAACGAAAAATTGAACTTTGTACGATGACCTTACGAATGCAAATGCGGTTCAACAGCAGTTTAAACCGATCGCATTGGATAGACTGAGGGAAAATCCGGGGATTATGGTCTTATATTCTCGATTTGACCTCGGAATGGTCAGTAACAAATGGATGGAGAAACAAATTATGCCCTTTCACTGGTGGATCTTTAGTGCTGGGGGTAGAGTGGCTGACCATCGTCACGTAGTCTGGTGCATGGAGAAAATTTCGGCAAAAATTATTGTGCAAGAACAGGGATTAACATTAAAATGGAGAGAAAACCTACCCTTTCAGGGATTTATTCGGGGAATCATTTTCTTAATTGAAAACATTTTATGAACAACGAAACCATTTCGTTTTTGTAAATCTAGAATCTTTATGATTTTGAGGAAATCTTCTACATAATTAAAGAAGTTCTAGTGGTCGTAAACTTTTCTTCATGAAAACTGAAATTAAATTTTATGGGTTTTTTATGCTTCACATGAATAAGATTTGTCTTTCAGGCACTAGGGAACTTGGAAGCTATTTCACGATAATTTAAAAAGCTTAGGGAACACTGAAGGATCTATAAAAAGGATATTAAAAACTTTGAGAAGAACATTTCCTACGACAAATGTCTTGTTTTATCACTTTCGAAAAATATTTCCGTATTTTTTCATTTCAATTTCTTTGATATGTATTCTTGTAAATATTTTTTTTCAAATTGAAAGAAAAACTGTAATTACTTTAACGCGTTGAATTTTCGTTAACACTCGAATCAATTATCTCAACGCACTTGAAATGAGAAAATCCGATTAAAGGTCATTACAATAATGACATAACGATTTTAAGTTATTATTCTACGTATTTACAGGGGGCCTAGTGGTCTTGAAGTTCTTTCCTCGTGAAAATTGGAATTAAATTAATGAAATCGATAATGTGGGAGATTTTATGGGATTTTTATGCTTCACGTGAATGAGATTTTTCTTTTGGGCACTGGGAAACTTGAAAAATAATTCATGATAATTTTAAAAAATTAGGGAGCGTTGGATGATCCATAAAAAATATTAAAAACTTTGAGAAGAACATTTTCTACGAGAAATGTCTTCTTTTATTACTAAAAAAATCAGTTCTCATCCTCTCTTTTTTTATGCTGAAGTCTCTTCAAAATATTTCCATATTTTTTCGTCTCAACTTCTTCGACATAGAATCCTTATAAATATTTTTTTCGAATTGAAGTAGAAACTACAGTTTTTTTCGTCTCAAAATGATAAAAAAATGAGGATAAAACAATTTCCATGAACTCTGTCAATTTTCATTAACACTTCAGTAAATTATCTCAACGAACGTGTTATGAGAAAATTCGCCAAAGGGTCATTACAATAATGACATAATGATTTTAAGTAATCATTCTACGTATTTAGAGGGGTCTTAGTGGTCTTGAACTTCTTTCCTCATGAAAATTGGAATTAAACTAATGGAATCGATCCTATGGAAGATTTTAAGGGATTTTTGTGCTTCACATGAATGAGATTTTTCTTTTGGACACTAGGAAACTTGCAAAATAATTCATGATAATTTAAAAAGATTAGGGACGGCTGAACAGATAAAATCCATAAAAAGAATATTAAAAACTTCGAGAAGAACATTTCCTACACGAAATGTCTTCTTTTATCACTAGAAAAATCATTTCTCATTCTCTCTTTTCTCACACAAAATGTCTCTATTTTTTCGACATCTATTCTTACTTCCAAAATAAGATAGAAACAGCAATTCCAATTTCTTTCCAAATTAAAATAGAAACAGCAATTACGTTTTCCTTAAAATCATTTTAAAAAATGAGAAATCATTTCGAACAATTTCCACCTCTCAAAATTGTTTTATTTTCTATCAACACTTGAATAAATGATGTAAGGAGCTATCACAACAATCATAACTCCGTTATTACAAACCAACTACCGAAATCCCTGAAGCGGAGTGAAAAATATTCTACGCGATCAGCAGATATTCGATGCTAACATTCCCAACACGTTAAACTCCCCGACTGTCCCCGACTAAATGTGTTAGTGAGTCATGACGAAAGAACCAGGGAGAGTCTAAACAGGCTTAAACACGTCCGAACCTGTCTCACGTCCAAGATTATTCTCGAAGCACGCTTTCTAACCAATAGAGAACACCTAAAACCCCTTAAAAACCCCTAGAAACCGCGGAAAACAATAAAAAAATGTCCTGGAAAACCGTTGCAGCTCCCGCATAGCAACAAATCGATCCTCATCCCCTGAAATAATTCAGCAAAACTCCAAAATCACAAAATAAAACTTCAAAAAATTAATTTAAAAAATCCAAACGCCTTCGACCAACAGAACAACAATAGAAATAATTTTTTCGATAATTATTTCATCATTATTTCGAACTTTCGCGAACATTTCCACAATTTCTCGAACCTTCCAGTCACTTCCCCCTTCATTAATCCTCAGTAAACTAAAAATTAAGGAAAATTAACCGTAAAATTGTGAAGAATACTTACGAAAAGGCAGTAATTATCACAGTAATATATCCGTACAGTAAATCCCTGAGTCCTTTTGTACTATAATCCAGATCTGACGCAACAAATGTCACTCGCGATTGCTCCGAAAAATCTGACGTAATACTAATTAGATAAAAATTCTGTCTTGAACCCGAAAAATAGTCCCGAGTATTCGATAAATAGTCTCGATTGATATCAATAACTTAATTAGTCAGTCTCGAAGTTTCTTTGTGCCGTTCAATGTTCTGTTCTTTACGTGAGACTCTGAAGACGTGCAGATCGTGGGAATGTCTGATCGTTCGATTGTCAAATTGTTTAATAGATAAGTTACGTTTAAAATACTATTGTCGGTTCACAGGATTAATTATAGTCGATGGTTTTGCAGTGAGTTTTTTCCTTGGCGTGAAGCTTTTGCTGGCGATGTGACTAGTTGCTCCGAAAATTGAGATAAACACTTGAACTTGTTGATGAGTGAAAATAAACTGAACACTTTCGCGATGGGTAATTAATTGTGAAAATTAATTAATTACGGATTTGCGAATTTTAGCGTGAGCTAATTTTTTAGCTCCAAAAGGAGCGTACGTGCGAACGGACGCGCTCGGTAAGAGTCGTTGACTGCTCCAAAGTTCATGGTGTGGGTAATGTGATGGTTGAATCACTCCTATTGGCTGATGGCTCTTGAACAAAGGCATGTGCGCAGAGGGGAACGCATGTGCGTTGAGTTTGCGCACACACAGCTGACGCAATACTCCTCTGGTCGGGGGAATTGATGATAATTTTTTTATCAATTTTCCTCAATTTTCATCGGAAAAAAATTGCGATAAAAAATTCGGAATATAAAATAAAGAAATTCGGGGATTCATTGGGGAAATGGATTAGTCGACTCGATTTGGCGGTGCGTTTTTGATGAATATCTTGGAAAAGGAGGGAGATAGCGAAATTTTTATAGATACCTTTTTTGCAGATCTCGATTTGCTCCAGAAAAAAGATTCCCATAAAAATTTTGCTACGCCCCATAGATTCGAAGATATTTTTTAAAAATCTGATGACGAAAATCGATTGGCTGACTCAGGGGAGCTGGAGTAAATGAGACATTCAGTTATCGATATCTTATGATCGAATTGAGCGATTTGGATGAGTCAGATCTCATATTTAAGTTGACAAAAATATCTTCAAAATGAAAGAAAAAGTATTTTATTTCACTCATCCAATCTGGAAATATTGAAGATTGAAAACGATCTATTTTTTGGCCTCTTCGGTACTGTACTAACCTCGCGAATAAATTAGTGAATATCTCTGGATCTAATGGAGATAACGAAAAAGTCCAAGGAACTTTTTTGTAGAGCGAAGTGATATCTACAAAAAGTTCTGTACAAAGATTTTTTTATCTCCCATAAGTTCGAAGATATTTATCAAAAACATCGAAAAGAAAAAAAACCATTACGGGATTTAAGGGAACTGGAGTAAACGAGACCGGCTTAAATCACCGATATCTTCCGATTGAATGGAGCGATTCAGACAAGTCAGGTCACATTTTCAAGTCTACAACAATATCTTCAAAATGAAGAAAAAAGTGTTTAATTTCACTCAGCCGATCCCAAGTTATCAACGATTGAAAACAATGAATTTCACCCTCCACTTTCCTAATGAAGTAAACCTGCGTATCAATTGGTTTCCGATGAATATCTCTAGATCTAGCGAGAAAATGATAAAGATCTTGACTACAGATCCCATTCCATCCTACAATAAAAGATTTTTATCATTCCTCCGCAATCTCTCGTAGATTTTACGACACCCACCGAAAAAACTCGTAAAAAAAATAGCAGAATCTGTAATTAAACAAATTAATTTCAGTCTTCGAGACAAAAAAAAATTAGATTTAATTCTAGAAATGATCCCATATATATTGTCACTTGAAAAAAGTTCTAAACAAATAGTATTCCGCGGTTCTAGTCCCGATTTATGTCCCCGGGTGGGCGATCGAGATCGACTCAAGGAAAACCCTGACGTTTTACCCGTCCCCGAAATTTCGAAGGACAGCTGTGGGATTCTCTCGTAAATATCTCCTCTCTCACTTTTGATCGGCGCTGTCACCGTGTCACAATTGTTGAGCGTGCTACGGACGAAAATATTCGAAACAAACAGACTTGCTCATTAAATCGTGACGTGGGCGGGGCTGGGAACCTTGAGAGACAAAGGTGAAATGAATAATCTGTTCTGTTCCAGTGGAGGTTGCGCTGGAAAAGATGACAAACAATCGACAAAACAAAATTCCTTCTACGCAAAATCGGAAATTATTCATCTATTTCCATTCTACGATTAGAGAAATAATAATTTTTCAGCAAAAAAATCATACTAAAAACGAATAATAGAAAATATAATGAGTCTAGCTTCCACCATTCCCTAATATTTAATTGAATATTCACTTAGGTGGGGGATGATGGCAAGACCAATAGCCATTTGGCGTCAATGTGCTCTTATAAAACGGATAAATCATCCCACGAGAGGCATCGAACAACAGATCCAGAATTTTCTCGAATAAGAAATGAAAAGCTTTTATGTAATTGACTGAAGTACTGATTTGAAGGAAAATTGATCATGTAACGAGAATTTCTCTCATTAAATCGTATACTTCGTAACTGCTTAGTTTATTCAAGGAATAATTTTTCCTCGAGAAATTATTTCAATTGATGTTTCAGAAGAAAATGATTCAATTTTACTTCAAAATTAATCAAATAATTTCATCAACTAAAATAATAATGACTGCTATTATTTTCATCGTCACGAGATATTCCTCAAAAATCATTTGTGTAATTACTTAAATTATCAAACTTGTTTAATAATAATAATAATAATAATAATAATAATAATAATAATAATATCTAGTATTTTTTAAATTATTATTAGCATTCCTAACAACGGTAATAATAATTGTACCGAAGTGAATAAAAATAAATAAATGAACTTTTTCCAAAAAGAGTTGTATTTCGCTTCTGAATTAACTTCAGAAACTGGTCGCTTTGCACTTTACTGAGAGTAAACGTATCGATAAAATTAGAAAATTGGTTATCACTCTCATACAAATTTGCATTACCCAGACTGTTTACGTCATCAAAATAAATCGTCTATTTTCGATCGATTATCGCTGCAGTGATCTACACTTTTCCAATGGATTTCCAATGACAATCAAGTTCAAAACCCCAGGAAACATCTCTTTTGACGCAGCAAGGATTTTTCAGAGTTCTATTACTACTGAAGGGGCAAGTGGGGTTAAATTGGACGCGTTTGACTTCTTTTGCTTCCGCATGGAAGCTTTGTAATCGTCCAAATTTAACATGCTTATGTAACTAAGTTTTTCTTTAATTGTTCGCTAATGAATGGACGGAATTGAATCTTTTTTTCAAATGTAGGTATTGTTGACCCCTATCAATTGCTATTAATTAAAATTTAATTCAGTAGCGAGGTGGTAAACCGGTATAAGTCGATTTTGACTATTGGCCAGTTTTCAATAAATATCTCGGAATATAAGGGAAATATCGAAATTGTTATAATTTCCTGTTTTGTAGCTCTCAATTTGCTCTACAAAAAAGGTTATGACAATAATTTTGCTATTTCCCTTAGATTTTGAGATATCTACCGGTTTACCACTTCACTACTGAATTAATCCATTAGTTTTTTTAATTTTCGAATTTTTTCAAAAATCGGTTGTCCCACGATAACTAAAAAAAGGTTCTGAATTGATTGAATGATGGCTTTAAAAAATTGTTTGGATGTACTTCTGACCGAGTTCGAAGATGAAGGCGATGGCAATAATCATTATTTTGATTTATTTGAAAATTTGCAAAAATTTTGTATTTTTTGAAAATCAGAATCCCGGGGATATCTTTGAATATCATGCTTCAAATGAATTCAATCATACCTTAAAATGTTTGTTTTAATGCCATTAAGTCGAAGTTAAAAGATGATTACGATAGTTATATTGGTTAATTTGATTTTTATGATGATTGTTGAAAATTTCGAATTTTTCATGAATTTCCCTGAAAGTGAGCTTTCTGATAGTTTCTTCAAATGTGATGTTTCAAATTCATTCAAGTATGTATAAATAAAATTATTCTATTAACATTTTATCGAAGGGGTGAGGGGAGAGATAGAACCGTCGAAAAGACAATCGGTTGTACAGAAGAAAGGGATAATAAGAATAATGATGATGATAACATTCAGCTGAGTTGAAAATCTGATAAAATTAGTTGAAAAGAAATCTCATTCAATTTAATAAAATGGAATAAACAATGAATTATACATGATAGCAGGAAATGATGTGCAAAATAACCATTCGGAAGCAGATTACTAATTTATTAGCCAAAATAACTATACTATATGCAATGCAAGAGCAATTTCCCACTTGTTTTTCATTGAAACGACAATTCTATCCCTTTGTGATACTCCTAAATTCAACTCAAATGAGACATCTATTTCTGAGTTATGAACATGAAAAAAATATCCAAAGTGTCTATTTTGCCCCACCCTCAGCAAAACGTAAACAGAATCGTCGAGCTTTACGTAATACCCACGATCATTCATGAAATCCCGTTGATAAAATTTTCGAGCCCAGACTTCATAATTTCCAACAGGGATTGCGTAAAAATTGGGAAAGTCTTTGTTGTGACCTGTAATGTCCCTCCAAAAAAATCTTTAAAAAATCCTATTTTCCTTTCAATAGTCAGATGAATCCAGAGAGCGATAGAAAACCTCCGATGGGCGATTTCTAGTGCCAATCGATGACCCAGAATTTTTTGAAAGCTAAACCGAGAGATGCGTCGTTGATTTTTCACTGTAGCAACCACTGTACGACGAAGTGACGCCTCGATAACAAAAGAATAAGCATTAATTGTCACGAGGTACTCACCCGGATGCGTCCAAAACGCCTCACTCCACTTAAACAACCAGTCCTGGCACTGTTGAGTCCAAAATTAGGATGAAAAATAAATGAAAAACTCTTTTGGAGTTGAGGATTTTGGAGTTTGACAGTTAGTTGGTCAACAAGCAATGGCGTCTTGTCGTACAGCTGATTATAGTGGCGCAGCACGAAGCCACTGCGCGCCACTGAAAAGTAGTCCCCACTCTCGATATTTGTCGCCTTCTGAATTGTCTCAAAAGTCGAATTCGGTTGATAAAAAAAATTCTATTATTTCTAGATTTTTTTAAAGTGATTTTTCTGGTTAATTTCTTGGGGATGATTATTTTTTTGGGGGTTGTGGAGGTCTGGGGGGCTTGCAACAATGTACATTACGCCTACGCGAAGTAACAACTGTCAGCAAACAGGGAGGAGCCAATCACAGACACGGAATACACAGTAATACTTGTCAATTCAAAAATATTTTCATTTAGGGGACGATGGGGTAAAATGAACACTTTTTACTTTTTTTCAAATGCCAATGACTTATTAAATTGTTAATGAAATTGTATCATTTTTTTTTCTCAATAAAAACGACCATTCTTCCCCCTTGTTATGAGCCTAGACTGAGCTCAATTGATAAATATATTTATGAGTTATTAATATTTTTAAAAAAGTGAAAAGCTGTCGATTTTAATTTTTTCATTTATAATAGAACGGATTATAGGGGAGGGTGGGGTAAAACGGACACTTTAGACTTTTTTTTAATTATTCGTAACTCAGAAACAAATTGATCAATTGAGCTCAGTTTAGGCTTGTCACAAAGGGAAACAATTGTTCTTTGTATAGAAAAAAAATTATTAAATTTTATGAACCTCTCCTACTCCATTAAAAAGAAAAAAATTAACGAAATTATGGTAGTAATATTGTTATGATAACATCATTAGTGCAATAAATTACCGGTAATTTTCTGATAGACACGGAATAAATAATAATACTTATTAATTGAAAAACATCTTTATTCAGGTTACTGAATTTTATTTTATTTTTTAGAGGAGCTAGTCATTTTTATTCTTTCCTTTAAAATAAAACGGGTTGGATATAGTGTATTAAAGAAAAATGAAATCAATGAAATTATGAATTTAATTAATTTCTTAACATGATCACGCACGGCAAATTCTTATGCTAATATCATTAGTAAGGAAAATTATTCTAGATTCTTTCAAAAGTTGATTCGTCTTGATAAAAAAATTTCTATTATTTCTCGATTTTTTTAAAGAGATTTTTCTCGTTGCTTGAGGATAATTATTCCTTGGCAGTTGTAGAAAAAGCACTGATACTTCTTCATTCAAAAATATATTTATTTTATTCATCACGAAATGCTTCACATTTACCTTCTTCTTTGAATAACAGAATAAAGAGAATACAAATCCCTTCGCGCCGCATATGAATGAGAGAAAATGAGTAATTAGTAATTATGGCGTTATTAATATTCTTGTAGATTGTAGGGGAGGTTGGGGTAAAACGGACACTTTTGACTTTTTAAAAATATTAATGAGGGGTTAAAATCTTGATAAAATTTAATAATTTTTTTTTTCAATACAAAGAACTATTCTTTCCTTTGTGACAAGCCTAAACTGAGCTCAATTGATCAATTTGTTTCTGAGTTATGAATAATTTTAAAAAAGTCTAGTGTCCGTTTTACCCCATCCTCCTCTAGTGGAAATTCTCAAGAATCTTAGATATTTCCAAATAAATCCACAGATTTCTTTCTGTTCATCCTTGAAAAATTTCTGGGAGTGGATTTTCTCTCCAAATATGTGCTCTTGACGTGTTCGAATGAAACAAGTGCTTTGTTCCGTTGAATAGGGAAGAACGCACAGTTTTTTTCAACTTTCTATTTACGCAGCTATAATTCCCATTTTGCCACCTTTATTTGGACTACTCCACCTCCAGTGTTAGTGTTTTTTTGAGTTTTTGGTGTAATGAATGAATAAACTGATTTCCAAAATGGTAAAGCTTGATAAGAAGGATTTCAATGTGCGATCATTTTAATAACGAGTGAGTCTGGAGGAAAATCTCAAGAAATTTTTTTCAAGTTATTTAGCTGCAAAAAAAAATTTCCTGACATTTTCTCTAAAACTAGTCGTTATCGAGATGAATAAAATACTAAAACATGTCGAATTTAACTCATAATTACACGTATGAAAGAATTCAATGGAAAAATGTTGAAGATTCATTCGAATTCTATTGGAACTTATACTGTGCAATTTTTCAATGATTTTTTTTTATACAAATTAAACACATAAATTTTTTAAGTTGTCTTCGCTCCACTTTTATTTTTCATCAAAAGTTTAGAGTAAAACTTAGAAACTTTGTTTAAAAATTTAGACATCAATTTTTTAAAATTGATGTCAAAATTTTTAAACAAACAGAGAAATTTATGTAAAAAAATCAACATTTCTTGACTGTTTCACACCAAACGTCTATTCAAAGTCGCATAATTTCCAATAGAGTTTGCTAGGCTTTCCATTAAATTTTTCTACACATCTGCCACTCCATGACTGTTAAAATAATTTCCCATTCTCCCGCGATCCTCAATCAACCAATTTTCGGCGCAGATTCATCAAACGAGATTGCCCCCCTGACTTTCTCATTCTCTAGTTTCTTCACAGCCCCCTCAAGTGCGAATAAATGTTCGTCATGCACCCCAGGTGCAATAATCCGCATGGCCATGGCCAATTTATATAAATATTCAGTGTTGGCTCCACTAGGTCCATGAGCTTCGATGATGTGACTGGCGATCGTCTCTATACTCTCGACCCCAGCGTAATTTGGATTGTCCTCAGTGCCGATGTATATCGTCAGCTGAAAAGGTAATTCCTCGGAGGGTGTGGGGGTGGCTGGCACCACTGGATGAGAATTAACGTTGTTCTCAGGTGAATTGTCCAGGGAACTCGGATCGATCTTCTGGACGGGTCGGGATGGATAGAATAGCATTTTTTTCCTTTGATAACCACCTTTCTCCCTAAAGTCTAAATGATTCACAACGTTCTCGATGTTTTCGTTTGAAATCTTGTAGGCGACACCCCACACCTCGTCGCTGGGGTCCGAGGTGGATAGGAGGGTCACCGCTCGACCTGGCTAGAAGCCGAAAATTATTTATTTACTTAGCGTTTCTCTCCGGCGTTGCCTGCAGAATTTCGATCCGTGAGTCTCATTTTTTCGTTTCATTTTCTGGAAAAACTCGCCAACTTTCTCGAAAACTCAAAAGTGTTTCTCAAAGGCGCAAAGTCCGACAATTTCTCAAAGTTTTGTGGAAAATGCTTGAGTATTTTTTAGCTGTTTAGGAAACCTGAGGGTTTTCGCATTTTTTTTGGAAAACGCCTGAATTTTATTCAATTTCACGTACGAAAAAATTAATTGAAAAACCTATTGATTTCGGTAGAAAATGTTATTTGATTGGAACAATTGATATTCAACGCTTCTTTTGCCGCCCAAAATTGTGACGAAGGAGAAGTTCCTTAATAATAATTCCGGAAAACACGAAAATTTCATAAATTTTTGTAGAAAATCACCAAGAATTCTCGGAGTGTCTAAAAATCCGAGGATGTTCTCTTTTTTTTAGAAAACCACATAAATTTCAGGGAAATTTACGTATGAAAAACCTATCAAATTCACTAGAAAATACTATTTTATTTCTCTTAAACTTTCTATTAATCTTTAATCGATTCTACCCTAAAAATAAAGTTGATTTTCAGTACTAATTCCAGAAAGAATTAAAATTTAATGAATTCTGGTATAATATCACCGAGAATTCTCAAACTGTCCAGGAAACCCGAGAAGTTTCTCAATTTTTTAAAGAAAATCCCACGAATTTAATGGAAATCCACACCCGAGAGAGTTCATTAAAAAATCTATCAAATTCGTTAGAAAATACTGTTTCATTTCTGTTAAACTTTCTATTAGTTTCTGGACAATTCTATCGAAAAGTTGCATTCACGTCCGTATTCCAGAGATTATTCCCTCCAATCTGATTTCGACCAATCAGAATCCAGTATTGAGGATCACGTGACATTTCACACTGATAATTCCCCTGGTGGCAGGGGAATTAACCGTCATTAAAACGAAATGTAATTCTTAATTATTCCACTGCAGTTAATGGACGAAACGCGTAAACAATCCAGCATCTTCGGAGAATAAAAATGATCGCATAATCAAGCAAGATAATTAACAACAAATAATGAATTTACTTTAGATGGTATCCCTCGATGATCAGTACTCTTCTGATAAAATCTCCTGACATATCCCTTGATATGTCCAACGAGTTTTCTCTCGTACGGAAAATCGACTTTCCATATCAGTGATCCATAACCAAACACCCACATGGTGCCAACGGAACTGGCAATCACGTCACGCTTTTCAATTCAATTAAGTCCTTCGATGGTTCTTCTTCTTCGATTTTTATGGCTCTGATATTTTAGTCTTGCGGCCGACCTTGGTTAATTCGGAGCATGCATGACCACTCATACATACGTGTGTGCACTTTTTTGTTATCACAACACTTTGTTTTTATTGGAGCAGAATATATAGTTGATCTAAAAAAAAACAGGGGTAGGCCCAAATGCCATAAACATCTGAACACAGATAAAGCAGATAACCTCGAAGAATCTGGCATCCAATCTACAATAAACACAGATGGGACAGATGGAGATGCAGAGACCGCCATTTTTCGGTCATATGACGCGAGCTAAAAAATGACAGTCGTGTGACGTACAAATTTTTGAGCTACAAGTGATGGTCACAAATAATTTGCAAGCAATTTGTTGTCAAAACATCTAGGGGAGGACGGGGTAAAATGGACACTTGACTTTTTTAAAAATAATCATAACTCAGATAGAGATTTATCAATTGAGCTCAGGCTAAGCTCATCACGAAGAAGAATCATTGTTCTTTTTATTGAAAAATCAAATTATTTCATGAACAATGCAACACGTGATGAACATTTCAAAAAAAGTCAAAAGTGTCCATTTTACCCCTCATACCCTTATATAGATGCATAATGACGGTCATAACTATTTACTAATTTTTGTCACGGTCATAAATGAAAGAATAGTTTCATCTGAGATGAAAAATGAGCGTGATTTTACGATACGAAATGAATTCAAATAAAAATTGATACAGAAAAAACGAAATTACATTTATATAGATGGAAAATGTCATATTTTTTGGCAGATTGTGACAGCCGTCATAAATGCCATGCGACGCATTTGCATCTCTAGTCAAAACATCTATATAGATGCCTAATGATGGTCATAAATAAAAAAATAGTTTCATCCATAATGCACATTAGGCTTAATACCAGATTAATTTTAAAAAAATTCATAAAAATGAGGTTGCGTCTATATAGATGAAAAATGACGATCATATTTGTTGGCAAGTTGTGACATCCGTCACGTGAGAGGTCATGTGACTCATCTGCAGCTCTATCACAGATTACAGATCTCACGGTAGATTCTTCGGAGCAATCTGCTTATCTACAGATCATCTGCTTGACTTCAGATATTTATCAGATATACTCCGATATGTCAGTGGGATTGTTGGCGCCAAACATGTGAAGTGTGGGAGGACTTCTTCGATCAGAGTTCAGGGGACGAAGGTTTTTCGAGGATTTTTTTTATGGGATGTAGGTTGAGGTGTGGGGCAAGAGTGTTTGGGGATCATGAGTGTCACGGAGAGTGCTCAGAGTGGAGAGCAGGGTGAGGTTTTTTTTATTGGTTTGGGGGAGAGGGAATGCTGAAGCCGGTAGCATTGCAGGTTAACTTCGATAATTGGTGGGGGTTTTGTTTGTTGAGAATTGTTTACTGTGGTCGATTCAAAATGATGGAAAATTCTATTGGATTTACTGTGCGTTTTTCTCGTAGAAAATGTCCAATCAAATGTTTTTTATGCAAACGAGCATTAGTATTTCATATTTCTATAGAACTCTTTCCATTGAGACACTTTCTATAGGAATTCAATTTTCATCGGAATTTTATTGAAATCATATTAGTTCCTCGCACCAATTTCTATCGAAAATTATGTAGCTTTGGGATTTTTTCAGAGATACATTAAATAGGAAAAAATAAATAAGTTTTAATCTTTCTGCATGAACTATTCTCTCGGGATTTCTTCAGTAAAAAATTCTAGGAATAAAGTTGCCAACTGTTTTGCAGTTTTATTTATTTATTGGTCATTACAAAATTCAAACAAAATAATGAATAATAGAGTCTGAGATTTGAATAAAAAATATTAACACGCATTCTTCATTATTCAGTGAAATAAAAAATACGTGTCTGATATTCTCACATGCACGAACAAATTTAATAGAAAAACCTGGCGAATTCGTTAGACAATTCTATTGGATTTCCAAGTATTCTATCGAAAAAGTCAAGAGAATTAGATTTTTCTGTACAACTTATTCTATTGAGATGTTTTCTATAGAACTTCCTCGTGTCAAATTTTCCAAGTTTTTTTTCATTCAATTTTTCTTTTCTTTTCATCCAGAAAATCAAACAAAAAAATAGAAAATCTGAGCCGAGGAAATTCTATAGAAAACATCTCAATGGAATAAGTTGTATGGAAAAATCCAATTCTATTGAATTTTCCTATAGAATATTTTCAATGAAAGTCCAATAGAATTGGACACTACTAAAATCGTTGGATATTTTTTTACTTTCTAGGGCCTTACCTGGAGGAGAGGATTGTAGCACTAATTCGAGAGCTTCCAGTTCTAGGACAGCTATTTCATATACATTTTAAAATCGGCGAGGGGACTTTTAGCTCTGTCTACCTCGCGACGTTGAAAGAATCCGGATCTTCCAAAGAATCGAAAAAATTCGCTGTGAAACATTTGATACCGACGTATCCACCTGCTAGGATCGAGAGGGAGTTGCAATGTCTACGTGATATTGGGTATTCGTTTTTATTCCCATTACGATTTTTTGTCGTTTTTTTAATTCGATTGTTCATGAATACTTGAGCCGTGGGGTGTTTCAGAGGCGCTGACAATGTTGTGGGGATTGAATTCTGCGTACGAAGTGGAGCATCTGTTGCCTTTGTCATGCCTTACATAAGACACACCAAATTTTCGGTAAAATAAATTCTACCATTTTCTATTTTTGACGGTTTCAGAGAGAAATGTTGAAAGATGTTTTTGTAGGAAATTTTATGAGCTACTAAAAGGTCTCTTTACATTTTCTCCTGGGATTGCAGTTTTCGAGATTAAAATTCTCGAATTTTCTGTTTTTAATATGTCGTTAATTCACGGGTTCAAAGTACGACTGCCGTCGCACATTAAAGACTTAATGTTTTTTTCCCTGTATTTCTGCATTGTTTCTTCATAACAAAAATATAAAAATACATAGAAACTTCATGCCCAAGACTTCTTATAGAAAAAATTCCAACAGAATATTTCGACATCTGCAGGCTTTTTTTTAAATAAGAAAATGTCTATTTAAGTGCACAAAAAATTTTTTTTTCACTAGAATTCTTATAGAACTCGAATAGAATTGTAATAGAGTTCCAGTAGAAATTTAATAGAATTCTTTCCAGAAAACACTAGATTCTTCTATTAAATTTCTGCATATATGTTTAAACTCACAAATCATCAGAATAATTATTTGCTCACATTAACAGGATTACGTTTACAACATGGGAACGATCGAGTTGAAGCACTATATGAGAGCCCTCCTGGTAGCTCTGAGAAAAGTCCACATGTTCAATATAATGCACAGAGACGTAAAACCCAGTAATTTCTTGTACGACAGGAGGAACAAAAGGTCTTGAATGAAGCCTCATTTCATCTTATATTAAAACTTCGTTCTCTACATGATTATTCCATTCTTCAGGTACCTACTCGTCGATTTCGGATTGGCGCAGGAGTACAAAGAGGAAAAGAAAGTTGAGATGAACAAACCCCAACCTTTGGAGACTTACTGTGTAAAGAGAAAACGAACTGATGAGGTAAAATTCAGTGGCATCGTCAAGAATGCATATTAGAACTCTATAAGAATTCTATTAGAGAATATTATTCATTTTTTTGTTAATTAATTTTTTTTATTAATATCTATTTGGGTTTTATGATGTTTTTTCTACGTATCTTATTCTATTGGGACTTTTTCTATAAGAATTTGTGGGCATGATTCTTCCAAGTTGTTTTTCTTAGATTTTATCATGAGAAATAAATAATAATATAGCAGATAAAAACTGGAGAATTTATGTCCATGAATTATCTATAGAAAAATGGAAATCTATTAAGTTTTTTCTATCAATATTTCACAATAAAATAACACAATTGCATAATCTCCTATAGAACTGGCGCAAAAAAGAAATAGAATTTTTAATAGAATTCTAATAGAACTTCCAGAGAATTTTCATGGAGTTCTAGTAGAAGTTGAATAGAATTTCTGGTAGATAGCGCTGGGTTTTTAATTTTCTATTACATTTTTTTATTTATAATGTAGGAAAGTATACGAAAAATTTTAATTTGCAGAATAAACGTCAGCAACTCGAGGAAACCAAGCAAACTGCCGCCGACAGTAAATGCTACTGCTTTGGAAAACCAAGGGTCTGTTCTCTGTGTTTAGCGAGACCATCACAAGTTGCATCTCGAGCTGGTACTCCGGGCTACAGAGCTCCCGAAGTTTTGTTTAAATGTCCTCATCAAACTCCAGGTGAAGAACCATTATAACATCTTCTCAAACGTGAACTCTTCACTCTTTAGAAAAATCCATTTATTTTTCTAAAATAAATGAATTACAATCTTTAATTTTAATTATTTATTATCTGGTGATTATTACCTTAATTCTATTTATTCATCATAAATTAATGATTGAGAATGGAAACAAACATTCACAGAGAAAAAATTTCTCTTCTCATTACTTTCAAAGTGAAGATTTAGTCACAAACGATCGGTCAGAAATTTTTAAAAATTATTGGTACATTATTAATAGAACGTAATTAATTCTAGCAATCGATATCTGGGCAGCTGGAGTGATAATGCTCTGTATTCTCAGTGCAACGCAGCCCTTTTTTCGTTGTCCTGATGACTGCACAGCTCTAGCTGAAATTACAACCCTTTTTGGCACCGAAAAAATGACAGCATGTGCACGGAAACTAGGTAATTCATTCATTCATTTATTGCAAACATCCATATGAAGGAGAAAATTCATTAAATTAATTAAATTTAATTTTTTAATTTATTTTCAACTTTATTTGATTTAATTTTTAATTTAAAAAATGAAACCAAATAAAGCAATGATGATTTCATTTTTTAAATTTCTTCATTCAAGAACGAGGATTTTTAACACAAGAATATTTCGTTATATTTAATTGAAGAAAGTTAGATGTTCTTGATTTAGAAATATATTTTAGTTTATTCTCATGTGAATGGCTGTATTATTTACTCATTCATCCCCTTTATTTGGACTAGGAAAGAAATTGATCTGTAGTGAGCAAATGCCTGGCACTGACATAGTATCTCTCTGCCAGAAACTTCGAGCACGTGTGAAAATTCCTCCAAAAGATAATTCTCGAAATGATTATCGTAAGGTATTAAATCCCCCTGTCTTCCAACAAATGAAAAAATTTAATATAAAAACCTGGGCCTTTCTCCAAGAAATTCTATTGGAATCTATTGGAGTTCTGTAAGAATTCTATTCAAATTAGGTTTTATCAACCATTATTAACACATTCCTCAATAAGAATTCTATTGAAAAATTCCATTTGTTTTGTGCCAACTGTTAAAAAATGTGCAACTCTCCTATACGTTTTAAATAGGCTTTTTCTTACATAAAAAAGTCTGTAGATGTCGAGAAAAAAATAAATAAATTATGAGAAAAAAATAAAAATACAGGGGGAAAAACGTAGAAGTTTATGTCTAAGAATTTTTATATGGAATTTTAATAGAACTTCGATAGAATTATTAGAGTTCCGCTAGAAATCAAGTAGAATTTCTCGGGGAAAGCGCAAGAAATTCGTTAAAACTAATTAATTATCTTTGAAGAACGTTCTAGTCGAGCATTATCCCCCCGAAGCCTTCGACTTGCTCCTCAAACTCCTGGACGTTGACTACAAAACCCGAATCACCGCTGATGACGCCTTAAACCATCCATTTCTCAGAGGATAATTCACTCAGGGCCTTTCAAGCACATTTAAAACATGATATTTGCGGAAAAATAAACCGCTCAGTACGATACAATATTTTTTATTCAAAAGTCTTGTATAAAGTTGTAATATTTTATATACAAATAAATTCTTTAAGTACAATAACAATAAATAAATTTATTGAATCTCGTGATATGAGATGGATCTAAATACGTCATTCCATCGTCAAATGCAAGTTTTAATTCTGCAGTGGGTTTCTACATCTCAAAACCATCCAAATTCGTCCAATTCACAATTTTTCTGAATTGTCAATTTATCTCAAAAACTGATTCAGAAGAAAAAGTCAGATTTTTTGACTTTTTTTTTCACTTGAATTTTTTTCATTTCACGTACGTCTTTTCAATCTTAAAAAATAATTGGATTTCCATTGAGCTTTCTACTAGTTTTTTTGCCCATTATATTAAAATGTCCAATAAAAAATATTTTACAGAAAATGTCAATAGAATTGGATCTTTCCGCACAACTTTCTCTATGGAATTCTTCGGCTGCAACTTTTCAAGTTTTTTAATTTCATTTTCTAAATGAAAAAAAAAGAAACATAGAATGAAAAATGCGAATGCGCTAGACGCGAATGCGCTAGACATTCCCATCAAATTTTTCATGCGTGCAACCATGAAAAGAGATGCCCCTGAGCCCTCACTCAACACTCTCCACCCCCGAAGACTCCCTCTGCGCCCCAGCGTTCCCCTCAGGTTGTTTCTCAATGAGCTCCCACTTGGCAGCCGCCTCGAGCGCCTCCTGCGCGATCTCCTTGACCTTGCCACTCTCGACATCCTCGCTCTTGGTAATAGCCATCAAGATCTCCATAATATCGGTGATAATAACCCTCGTAGCAATCTCCTTATTGCTCTTGATCATATTAGCAACAATGACGACCCCCCTGTGCTGCACATCAGCACTGGGATTCCCGAGGAGAAACCTGAGAGACTCGACCCAGTTCTTGGACTCAAAGATCTTGTTACAAGCCTTAATGCTGACAGAAGTGATCATGGCAAGAGCCCCCGAGGCAGCGAGACTGGTGTCCACATCCTCGTCCTCAGCGAGGATCACAAGATACTTGACCCTGTCATTGTCCCCCTCAAAGTACTTGATAGCCTCCTCACACATGACCAAATTATTAATGACCTGAGTGGCAGCCCTCTGCAGCATCTCGTGCTGCTCATACATATATGCCTCGATCCTGGGGAATCCCCCCTCCTTGAGGATGTGCCTCCTGACAGCATCGCTGACCCCAGCGACATTACAAAGTGCCATGAGAGCCTCAAAGTTCTCCAACGCCGAGCACTCCTGATCCAGAAGATTCAACAGTGGTCGTATCACCTCCATGATCCTCTGGCCAGGGAAAGCCACCTCAGGATTAATAGTGATACCGAGTCTAGCCAGTGCCTGCGAAGCCTGCTTCTTCCCCTTGCCAGTGCCCTCAAGAGCCAGAGGCAGCAGTCCCTTGGCCCCTCCCTGCTGCACAACAATCCCCCGAACCTCCTGCTGACTGCAAATGGCATTGAAAACCCTGGCAATCAACTCCTTACTATTCTGGCTATCAGTCTTCGCCAGAGCGACAAGAGCACTCGTCACCCCTGCCTTCGCCAGCATAATCAGCCTCTTATTAACGAAATCCGGATCGTCCAGCTCGTGCTCCTCAGGTATGTGGTGCTTGGCGAATTTGGCGAGCTCCACCATCTCAGGAATCACCTCCTGCTTGTCGTAGGCATTGCAGAGATTGACGAGAGTCGTGACAACCCCATAGAGCACCGACTTGTCCCCAGTCTTGGCGAGCTCTATCATCGCCTGGATGGCCTGCTGGTCCTCCACAAGCTTCTCCTTGACTTCGGCGTCAAAAGTCAGGTAGGAGAGTCCCTCGACAGCCCACTTCCTCATGTCCTTGTCCTTCTTGGGATTAATGAGAAATCGTCTGCAGGCCTCAGCAAGCTTCTTAGTGGCCCCATCGGCAAAGGGTCTGATAGTGGCGTCAGTGCCCCCTGAGGACCCCAGTTTGCACAGGCCCACAAGTGCCCTCACCCTGATGGCATCGTCCTTCGACTGGTACAACTTCTTCAGAATGTTCACCCCCTGATTGATGATCGTCGTTGCTTTATCCTTCTTGGAAGCAGCAGCAATGATGCACTCGCAGGCGACCTTCTGCTGGAGCACATCGTCGGTGTCAGCCATCACCAGGATCATCTGGAGGATGCCATCCCTCGCGACGATGGAGTTGCCCACGTCCAGGGGGCCCAGCAACAGTGTTGTGATGGCCACAGTGACTCGAACCTTCGATTCAATGTCTGGCGACAGCAGCTTGTCCTTTATGTACTCGTCAATAGCTTCGCTGAACTTCTGCTTCAACTTGTCATACCACATGTTCTCGTAGATCCTAGCCAGGCAGACACTGGTCACCGTCCTTGTGGATGGGGTGATGCTCATGGCTGACTCGTACTTGTACTCTTCGAGTTCACTGGCCACCTCCATCAGCCGCTGCAGCCCCCTGATCTCGACCAGCCTCTCGGCCCAGCTCAGGGCTGTATGATGGATGTTCCTCATGATCAGCTCGATGACTGCGTCCCTGGCCAGTCCTGAGAGGGTTCTGTTAGTCGTACTGAAGACCAGGCACGAGAGAATCGTGTCAATCTCGGTTTTATACTTCTCGCAGAGCTCTTTGTTTGGCTTTGCGTCAGGCTTGTTCTCCAAGCCACTGTAGCTGTTGAGGACAGTCTGCATGCAGTGCTGAGCAGCGTTCACCCTCTCCTCGGAGTTGCTGTTCATCATCTCGAGCAGCCAGGGAATGCCAATCTCCCTGATGATCACTGCTGTCCTCTCGATGTTGTGCTTGCACAGTTCGTCGATCACACGAACAGCTGAAATGACAATCTCATCGTTTTTTCCTTCTAGCTTTATGAGCTTCAGGATTTTTGTCACCACTCCCTCCTTGAACATGCCCTCGGCACCAGCTGACTCACGTGACAGCACCAGGAGGTTGTTCATAGCAGTCTCGCGTTTCTCTTTGTCTGTCTTCATGTCGAAGGCCATCTCCAGCATCTGGGAGACTTTGGCACTCGTTCGGGAGTTCTGCTTGTGGCGCTCCTGGACTATCTCGAAGAGTCTGGAGAGGATGGGCTGCACTGCCTTGTTGGAGGGGTCTGCGTTGATGACGTATCGGGCGTCTCTGTAGGCCTCCTCGTAGCGCTCCAGGGACTCCAGGGCTTGGCATCTGCGGAAGAGCGCCTTTGGGTCGTTTGGAGTTATCTTCAGGGCATCGTCGCACTCCTTGATTACTTTTTCGTAGGATTTTTGCTTCAGGTGGACTGCTGCGCGGTTCTTGTGGAGCACTGACCTCTCCGGGGTGTCTTCTGCGGTCAAATTTAGGGCCGATGTGTAGTATTCTAAGGCCTCGTCGTAGTTTCCCTTTTGGAACTCGGCGTTGCCTTTCTCCTTTAGCTCGAGAGGGGAGAGAGTCGATTTCGTCATTCTGGAGTGCTGGGGAGGAATGAGAATTTTATTTGGAAAATCGCTATTTACGTGCACAAAAGATTTTTTTTTTATTTCTTTAAACTTTGGATTCATTTTTGGAGATTCTATTGAAAATTTGGAAGTTTATACGCGTTTTTTAATGATTTGTTTAGTGGAGAATGTTTTATAGAAAATCAATGGAATTAGATTTTTATATATAATCTAGTCTGTTGAGATGTTTTCTATAGAAGTATTTTTGTTTGTTTGTTTATTTAAAGAAAGGAGATAAATGGAGCGAAAATGAAAAAAATTTAGAAAATTCATGTCGAGGAATTCCTGTAGAGAACTCAATAGGAATTCCGTGACATGAAGAATTCTTCCTCGATCTGCAAAATGCTTCAATAGAATCAACCAAACACTGATAGAATTTTAAACAGAAGTTCAATAGAAATTCGATGAAATTTTCTATCGCGGTTATTAAAAAATATTACTCTGTGAAATTGAGGACAAGTTTAGCAACAATGAATTAATAGAATTGTGTTAATTCTTCAATTTTATTATTTTGTATTTGTTAATTATGGGACTGAGGTTAGAAGTGAAGCTTAATTTGATTTTGTTGAGAGTAAATGAGATTAGGGGAGAATGGATATTGAGGGGAAGATAGACCACTTTCTGCCACAAAAAGTTAAAAAATGACAGCGTGAAATTAAAAGTTTTTTTTTATTTTGAAGGTATTTCTTAAGCTTTTGAAATAAAATCAGTCATTCCAATCGTATCATTTGCTCCGGAGAAATTGATAATTTCGTCAATATATATTGACCGAATGATTCGATTTAGATGAGTCAGGACTCATTATCAACTCTGGAAAAATATTTTTGAAATGAAAAAAAAAATCCACGAATTTCACTCTGTCGTTCTCGAGGTATTGGCCATTAAAACCACTCCATTAAAACCACTCCCTTCACTCTTCAATGTAAACACTGAGGGCTCACCTTTTCGTTATGAAAAACCGAAAATTGATCGTTGAAATTCTTCTGTGAAGACTCAATGCTTCTTACGTTGATATCAAAATGTTACTGAGCACCGGCTCACTCGCCGTTAGATTTAAAAGCATGAACGAAGAGTCTGGATTGTACTGGATGTCCCGAGGTTATTTTCGGGGCAGAGCTTTCGTAACACTGTGTTTGTGAGCTTGAAATTGTATTGAATGTCACGATATACACAGAGAGTTAAAAGTTTTTTCGGTAAAAATAGAAGGTTAGTTGACTGTGGAGTGACGTTTATTTTTGGTCATGGTTGAGATCCACACGACACCAGTTTGAGAACATCTGTATGTGCGCGCTGCATGTGGGCCTGTGAACGCGCCTCAATTTGATTCGATGTAAACATAACACTATAGAAGTAGAAATGGCAATTTCTAGAATTAGTCTATACGCTATACCCCTTTCTGTGGACATGAAAAGGGCGGCAGGATTTGATGATCGGAATTTATGTTTTCGGGGAGTGGAGAATCCGAATTTCTTGGTGTTTTTGCGATTCCAGTGGCCAATTGTTAGTTATAAACAATTTTACCGCAACTTTGATGAAAAAATGATATTTCATGGAAACCATGAAACATACAAAAAAATATTTCAAATGAAAGTTGTTCGTCTTTCTCATACGAATAAAACGCTTTTTGATTGATTGAAATCGGCTCAGTGACTCGCGCGCTATCCGCTAATTAGTGGGTGTTTTTAATGAACAAATGATTTTTTATGAAAATGCCATGATTTTCAATTAAAAACCAGAGTTGAAAACCAGTTTGTCATGTTTAGAGGCCCTAGCACGCCATTTCTCGACCCGCTTTTTCATTTGAGCCCAAAAAAACATTCATATCTTGTCTGACATCTCTGCTACAAACTCGGGTCTTCAACTCGGGCCTTCAATTGAAGGCCGATTTCGTGGCGCGCAGCGTCACATCTAATGAAAAAAAATTCATATTTTAATCTGATTACAATGGAAATGTTGATTTTCACATAAGACACTGGGTTAAATCCTGTTTTTTAAATATTTCTTCTTTGAAAATTAGATTTCCGAGTCTAATCGAGTTTTCTGCAATTTTTTTGCAGTTTTCAATAATCTTTGAATTTACCGTAAGGGTAGAGCTACTTCCAATCAAATATTGTGTGCCAGAATAAAATCAGTGTTTCTGCGTACAATTATTTCAAACATTCCCGCGCTTGTGGAGCAGCGGCGCGTGTTAGCCACTTCACGTCGTAACAGGCGCGCGCATTGGGGCCGTTAAATTGGCGTCAGTGTTTCCCTGGCGCGGTACGAGCGTGGCGAGGTTCCGGTGCCTCTCGTGAATGTGCTGTTTTCAAACATGGGGAGGTTAACCCACTGAAACCAATGAATAATATGTGGAAACTAGATAATCCCGGTGTTATCGTATTGGTAAGTGTGCTAAGTGGGTGCGTGATCCTGTACACTTCGTCGGGTGCCCTAATAGGCATTCTCCTGGCCCTGATAATAACAGTGTACGGCTGTGTATCACTGCTCATTGACGATAGTCTCGTGACACGACACGCGTCTATTGTCCAAGATTACCTGAGTGCAGCCGGTGTTAATTTCAACGAATTATTCGATATTATATCGTCACAAACGTCTGGCTACGTTTCACAATTGTTTGAGATTGTTAAGGAGTGTTACAAGGAGCAGATAACCAACAGGATGGAGCGTTACCGCAGAAGCACGTACCAATTGAGCTCTGAGTCACTGGTGAATAGTCCAAGGACAGCTGGTCAACTCAAGACCCTGAAAGGACTCAGTCCCATACCGAAGAGAAGTGTTGGTGCTCACATCAGTGAATCGGAGAATAATGTCTATGTGGGGAGGAGTTCGGGGGCTTATGAGAGTGCCAGGGCTTTTGACAAGGTCACGTCGACGCCAGTGATACCGTGGAAGCGGAGGGACGCGAAGAATGGGGATGTCTGTGGTGATTCAATCGTGGGACATCGACATGTCAAGAAATCGTCGTCTGATCTGGGCTGCGGGGGCAACAGGGAGGAGGAGGGGAGCCCTTGGGGCACCTCCATCAGCCCCAAGATCAGGCCCAGGGCTGCTGGGGTCAAGACTGTGCAGACTGTTGCTGGCCCTCTTCTTGCGTCTACTAGATACAATATTGATACTAAGTAAGTTTGGATTTTTAGTTTTTTGGCGGTGGGGAGGGATATCTTTTGGGTTTAGGAGAATTTTTTTTAAGGAAATTTTAGTAGGTGGATTGGATTTTAAGATATTTATAGAGAAATTTATTTTATTTGGTTTATTTCAAACTTTCTTGAAGAAGTGGTGATGAAATATCCTTGGAGATGAGGCAGGCGAGGAGAATTTTTGTGGTTTTCGTAATGACTTTGTTGTCTCTCTTAGATTAAAAGATTCTCAACACAAAGTCAAATTGATTTGTGGTTTGGAGCATTTTCAAGGTTTTTATTCACTTATTTACCTTTTTTGATTTTTGTTATCTCTGGGGGATTTTTATACAGATATGAAAGCTATAAAAAGAGTCTTGAATAGAATGATACTCTAGAAAAACTCAAATTTACAGGAACGATTTTCAACGTTTTCATGCACTTATCAACATTTGTTTCAATATCTCTGAATAGAGCAAAAGTGTCGCGACAATTATTTTTATAGAGATAAATTAGACTTACAGAAAATTCTCTGAAATTTCTTCTATCTTTCTTGCCTTCAATAATTCTCAACAGAAATTGAGCTTCATTTCGTTAATCTCAACCTTTCTAGCTCACAATTTTTGGATAATAGTTTTTGCAGAGATAAATGATGTATTTTCGTGAAACTCAAAAACCTTCAACAAAAACTCGACTTGATTTCAACTTTTTTCAACTTTTTCGATTCCCTTATCAACCATTTCTCGAAAATACATTTAAAATGCAATTTTTCAACAATAATGTTTCGCAAAAAAAATTTCATCACAATACACTTTAAAAAAGAATGCATTTTTCATCGAAATCTGTGTCCCAATGGAATTGACTCACCAGCTTTCCCCTCACTGTTGATTTCCTTCATTCGAAATAACCTCAAACTTTTTTCCAGGACATACACCGACATAACATCTCCAGGGCTGACCTCCCGCCTCACGAAATACGCGACAGAGGCCACGACAAAACTGAGGCAATCGCCATACGGAACCGGTCAGTTCCCCAAAGTGAACTTGAGCTCAAGTCCAACGCCGTTAATAAACTCCAAAACTGGGAAGATGAGGCTGCCAGTGACGGTGCGGATCGCGCCACCAGACACCAGATACTCTCCCCCCGAGCGTCAAAGAATGATCTCCGACATCTGCCAAGACCCCCCAAGAACCCCTCCAACAGTGGCGCAGGTCCTGCGAGACATGTCGTTGAAGAGACACGCTTCCAGGGAAGACGTAGCAGCTGAACTCATAAAAAAACAGCGAACGGATGGCCTGTATGGTGACGAGCTGGAGAACCTCGAGGAGATGACGCAGAAGCGAGCGAGAGAAGACTCCTCGCGATCAGACGAAGACATCTCCATCGACAACACGTCCCTGAGGCCAGTCAAGAGAACGAAAAAGCCCTCTTGCTACGACATCTTGAACTCCCTGAGCTCCAGTACAAACGTCAACTCAGGGGTGAAGAGGAAAGCAGACATCTCCCGAAGTGGCACCCCAGACCTTGGAAAGCACTTCAAATCCCTGGACACAAGTCAAGTCTCAAGATCTTCCAAACTGCCTGGAGACCTCCAGAACTCAAACAAATCCATCAACGAGAGCTCTTTATCTCTGCCTGATGCAGCCAGTCGAAGAAGCTCCCCAGAAAGTGTCTCCCCGAGGTCCCCAGGAAGACCATCATCCAAGCACGCGTCCCCAGAGGCCCACGAAATCGAGGAAATCTTCAAGAACACTAAGAACTCGATGATAGAGGTCCCAGTAAAATTGACTGATCGGTTATTCATGAAGGAGGAGCCCCAGAATATTGATAAACTGAAGAGTCTGATTGACGAGCACAGCTCGTTGTCCTCGAAATTCTCCATGAGCGATGTCGAGGAGATCAAGAAGTCTGACATAATCAACATGAGGCAGACTAGCATGAAGGCAAAGCTGAAGAGCATGTTTGATGCCATTTCTGGAAAGACATCTAGCACTATTGATCCTAGTGTTGTCATTCAGGCTGAGTCAATCACATTGCCATCCTCACCCTCTAGTTTGGCAACTCTGAGCTCGTCAACCTGCACGACTAACGTCAACACGTCCCCAATATCGACTTCAGCTATTGTTCCAATAATTGGGAAGGCGAAGACGATGGGAACTCCTGGGAAACACGTGACATTTAATTTAGCTAGTGGTTCTGGGTCGTCGAGTTCGTTGTCGTCAGGAGTGGTGCTGCCTCAGTTGGAGTTGGATAAACCTGAGGGAAAGGAGGAGATTAACAAACCAGAGGCCTCAGCAGGGTTCTCTTTTGCCTCGAGTGTCGTCACTTCTCCATCGTCAAGTGCTGGAGATAAATCTCAAGGATTTTCAATCACCCAAGCCCCAACATCTTCAGCTCCTGTCTCGAATCCCACTACAACTGCGAATTCCACAGCTCCAGCAGTGACATCCAGCTCTCAAACCCCAACTTTTTCGTTTGGAACATCATCCACGTCAGCATCGACAGCTCAGACAATTCCAACGTTTTCCCAATCGAGTCAGAAGCTCTTCCAGCCAGCAACTGCAGTCTCAACAGCTGTGACTACTTCAGCAGTTGATGCAGCCCCCAAGGCAACGACACTCTTCAGCACCCCGACATCAACGACATCTTCCTCAGGGACACCTGCCCCTCCAGCTCCTGGGAATGGGCTCCTGACGTTCGTGGGAGCGAGCAAATCCCCTCCTAAAGTCGCTGGGTTCTCCTTCGGTGCAGTATCTTCCAGTTCTTCAGGGGCGAGCCAAACTGCCACCACCAGCACATCATCGTCCGGATCAGGATTCAATTTTGGCGTTGGTTCAGGCGCTGCTACCAGCACTCCAGTGTTCGGAGCCACCACCACTTCAGCCCCTGCAACCTCAACCCAATCATCTACTTTCACGTTTGGAGGGAACAAAACTACTCAGTCGACAACTCCATCATCAGGGTTTTCGTTTGGATCGACAGCACCAGTCGCCTCTTTTGGTGGATCCACAACGTCTCAAGCTCCTGCAACAACAACTCTAACATTTGGAACTGCAACTTCTGCCTCAACTCTAGCATTTGGAAGTTCAACAACAGCAGCTCCTGCCTTTGGGACGCCTTCAGCCACTGCCTCAACTCCGGCATTTGGGAGTTCTTCAACAACTTCTACCTTTGGGACTCCATCAACAGCAGCTCCTGCCTTTGGAAATCCCTCAACAACTACTGCCTTGGGGACTACGTCAACAGCTTCTGGCTTTGGGACCCCATCAACAACAGCTTCTGCCTTTGGGACTCCATCAACAACAGCCCCTGCCTTTGGAGCACCTTCAACAGCAGCTCCAGCCTTCGCAACTCCATCAACCCCATCATTCAGCAGTGCCCCAACCCCATTATTTGGTACTCAACCCTCAGGCTTCAATTCAACCACCACAACTGCCACTGCCATCACCTTTGGACCCCCCAAGACAACAGTCTCAGCCTTTGGCACAACAACAGCAAGCACAACCCCCAGTTTATTCAATGGGGCCACCACAACTCCTTCAACATCAAACTCCATGTTCAGTGGAGCTAGTGCCTTTGCACAGGGCAAACCCCCAACTTTTGGTGCCACAACAACAGCAGCCACTGGCTTCGGAGGGACCACGAGCACCAGCTTTGGTGGGCCTTCGTCGCTGTTTGGGGGACAGCCCACGACAACTGCTGGCTTTGGAGGCAATCCCTCAACTACAACCACTTCAGCTTTTGGCCAGACATCTTCAGGGTTTGGGGGAAACACCACTGCAGCTCCAGCCTTTGGAACTTCCTCAGTTGTCCCCAGTTTTGGGGGCACGTCCTCAGGATTTGGAGGACAGAATTCAGGGGCTAGTTCTAGTTTTAGTGGGACTGCAGCTTTTGGGGCTACGACAACTGCACCTCCAGCTTTTCCCACTGGGACTAGCTCTACTTCGGGATTCGGAGGGTCGAGCTCTAGCTTTGGGACACCTACGACTGCTCCTCCGGCGTTTGGGAGTGCCAACAGCAGTTTCAGTGGGTTTGGGGGGAGTACTCCTGGGAGTGGGGCTGCTTCGCCGTTTGGGGGAGCTGCTCCGGCTTTTGGAACGACGGGGTCTGGGTCCACTGGGACCGTTGCACCTTTTGGGGGGACCAATGCCAGTGGAGGGTTCTCCTTTGGGGGCAGTGGGACCACACCTGCCACCACTCAGGGGACACAGGGGATGTTCTCGTTTGGTGGCGGCAGCTCCAGCAGTGGGTTCCAGTTTAATGGAAGTGCTGCACCACAAACTGGTGAGTTTTATGTTTTAGGTTTTAGTTTTATGAAGCGGATCATTTCATTTTTGCTATTATCTCGGGAATGAGTGGTTCCAGGGGAAAATGTAAAGAGATATTTTTTGTCGATGGTTAAATTTCGAACAGAAAATGGGTTTCGACATTTTCTCCTCATATCACTCATTATGGAGTTTTATCCAATTGAACATTTCAATTTATTCGTTTCCTAGGAGCTATTAAAATCAGCTGTTCTAATTCTTTAATTGTCTCTGAGGCGAGTGATTTCAGAACAAATTGGCGAGATTTACGCCATTTATTAATGAGGTTGATTTGGTCATGAATTTGATGGTTTTTATGTGGGTTTTTTGTTGGGGGCAAATTATTTGAGAGGAAATGATGAATGATTTTTTTCGAGGTGAGAATTATTATGGGAAAAATTGTCTGTTGATATTCTCTTTCAAAATCCTATCTTACCATTTTTCTCTAATCGTTCATTATCAAAATAATTCACTAATTATCAAAATTAAAAAATAAAATCTTCATATATTCCCTCTTCACTTCTTTATTATTATGAAAATCACTCGACTAAAAACCGATCTCTGCAATTCTGAATTAAAATCTGAAACGAGTGACTTTGAGAGAAAATGTCAAGACTTTTTTGAGAAAATTTCCAACACAAAATGTTCTTCAAGATTTTTCTTCGCAATAGATGAATTTTATTCTGCATTCATCTTGTGAATAAAGGACTTCTTTATGCGCAAATGTCAAGATATCTCTGACATTTTCCTCATCATCAAAATAATCCACTAATTAACAAAACTAAACAATAAAATCTTCACATATTCCCCCTTTACTTCTCAATAATTACAAAAATCACTTAATTAAAAACTAATGTTTCCTATCATTATTGCCCTAGGAGGGTTCAACTTCAGTGGTTCAGCCACACCAGCTTCGTCGAGTGTCCCATCATTCTCCGCCCCAGTCCCATCATTTGGCGCCTCCAGCGGTGGCAACATGTTCAGCATCGGTTCCGGTTCAGTAGCTCCACGTTCAAGATCCACACGCCCAGGCAGACGCCAGAGATGATGGAGAATGTAAAATCTGCTCTATCAATATCCACATTACACTAAGGAAATAGTCTAGGATGAATAACAATCGAGTACTCCACGTGGTGACTAATGTTCAAAATCACTGAAATACTTGGTACTCTTTTTTTGTTTCAAAATAATTATAAAATTGTGAAAAGGTGATTGTGACTCGACTTGATGACGTTTTGAGATAATTTGTGATGAAATTGTCTCGATTTAGGTAAAAAAATTTTAATTATAATATAATTCATGTACATGACTGTTGCTCAATCAAAGCAATTTTATACAATTCCACGTGCATTAATCGAGTCACAACAACTTTAAAATGGACTGTTTAACTCGTAATAAATATGAAAAAAAAAATTCCAATGTTAACTGGACTCGTATAAACATTAATTTTTGTTAAGATAGATCAAATTCGAGGCTTTATAATGAACAAAATATTAACAACATTTTGTACACAGATGATTACTGAAGGCATTACATCAATGTCGATTAAGAATAGGGTATCTCATACTATTGAACTCATGAACAGTAATCATGTATTTTCAGTTGGTGTTTGTCATTTTTTTATGTCTCGATAGATTCAACAAACAATGAAGTTGAATTAAATAGATGAATATTGCGCAATATCCAGTAATGGAAATAAGAGGAAGAGATGTATCTTAAAATTGCGGAAAAGGTGAGGACAGAACTTGTACAGAGTAATTAGTTATATTATTATAGAAAGAAAAAATACGAAACTATGGGTTTTTCATTTTTTGTTGGCTCTTTATGATCTTTAGGTAATTTCATTCGAATTCAAGCATCTACAGTAGGGGATTGAATCGAGTGAATTATGAAAATGTATAGGAATCAGTTTTTATTATGATTGTAATGAAACTCATGTCAGTAATAAAAATATTCTGATTAAACATAATTAATCTGGTATAATTAATCGAATTGTTGTATTTTTTTTCACTGTCTCCAAGGGGTGGACTTCATGTGATAGGTGGCTTTATTCCTTTGAAAATATTGCAATGAGAGAAATAAAGAATACAATTTTTTAATTGATTCGATTGAATGCAAACATGGAAGGATTTCCAGCGAGACTGATCGATTAATTGAATTTAAAAATTAATTAAATTTTTTTTAAAATCGACAATGGATTTTTACTTTTGAATTTATCTGAAAAATGACTCATTTTAGGAGAAAATGGCAGGAGATCTTTATTGAGACTTGGATTTTCAACAAAATGAAAATGATTCATTATATTTTTCTGTAGAAGAAATAAAAATGGATCATTCTATTTTCGCAATTATCCTTGAAATGAGTGATTTCAAAAGACAATGTAAGAGAATTTTTTTTTGTGGAGAATTAAACTAAACAAAAAATGTTTTTCTATATTTCCTCCTGAAATTATTCATTATCTGGGTATATTCAGTTGAAAATTTCAAACGATTTGTGTCTTTCATAAAAGCAATTAAAATGAGCAGTTCTAATTTTTTAATTATCTGAAAAACCAGTGATTTTAGAGCAAAATGTCAAAATATAATTTCTATAGTACACAAAATTTCCAACAAAAAATCTCTTTTGACATTTTCACCTCAAATCACTCACAATTGACTTATATTCACTATATCACTTCAATTGAAATTTTCCTTCCACAAAACCAAAAAAATCAAGACGACCCGTTCTAATTCTTCAATTATCTCAAAAACGAGTGATTTTAGAACAAAATGTCAAAAGATCATTTCTATAATACACAAAATTTCCACCAAAAAATCATTTTTGTCATTTTTACCTCAAATCACTCACAATTGAATTACATTCAACTGAACATTTCAGTCTCTTCCTTTCACAAAACCGATTAAAACGACCCCCTCTAATTCTTCAATTATCTCAAAAACCAGTGATTCTAGACCAAAACATCAGATGATGTTTCCTGCAGCTGCTAAAATCCCTCAAAAAATCCGCTTTAAAATTATCCCCGAACCCCCCATGCTATCATAAATCCGACAATTCTTCCCATAATTTCAATTTTACCAACGACAGAATCACCTAATCACCCCTTTCACGCAAACCCCAGCAGCAGCTCCCTCCGGTTCCCCATTGACCTCCTCCACAAATCAATTCGCCTCAATTCTTCCCTCACCTTCCCAATGAAACAATTCCGAAAAATCCCCGAAGATCGAACAGGTCCCTTCTAAAATTTGAGAGCCCATCGGCGCCGCCACATCGCCCGTGGCCCCTCTCGGAGTGGGCAGCGTGCTGGCAACAATAAAATAAATCCCACTCCCCCATTGGCCAATCCACCTCAGTCATCTCCACTCCCCTCCAATCCCATTAACCGTACCAAAAGCCGTCTGTTTGGTACGGTCGCCTGGCTGCCGCAGCCATGTTGGGAACATTAGAAGGTAACCAACAGTACAACCAGAAGGACGGGAACATCTAGGTACGGCAGCGGCGTGTCTAACACCTAACACCACCACCATGGCTGACCCGGAAAAACAGCCCGAACAACCCAAGGCTAACCAGCAAGCTAAATTGGTCATCGGTGAGTTGACAATTTACCTCCCCAAAACATCATTTCACCCCGTAATTTATCCCTTCAACCCCCTCACGCGGATTTCATCGTTTGCTCCAATTTCGCACATCAATTTCACCTCGTAATGGCGCCCAATTCACGCTCGCACCATGTGGCCGGCGTGCCGGGATTTAATCGCAAACTTCTTGAGTGTAAAATCAACGAAATAACCATTTCAGGGGCACGAAATGACGGCTCGATTTTTCGTCAGTTCGTTGGCCAAATCAATGCGAAAATTTTCGGCATTTTTTTTTTCACGCACATTGTGACGCAGAGACGCGACTAATTTGGAAGCCAATCGGTGCACCCCTCGTAAATTTCAGGTCTACATTTTTCGCCTTTTATTTTTGTCCATTAAATCATTTCTTTTTATGGAGGCGATTGGGAATAGTCGGGGTTTCGGAGGTTTTTTGCTGTTTTATTTGGACTTCGGGGGAGTGTCAGTGGTTTTTCAGGTGGTGTGGTTTTTTCGCGGGGCTGGGGGCATTGCGTCTAGAATGCTCCAAAATTCAGTGAGGATCCAGCGTGCTCCGAATGTAAAATGCCGGCGATACGATCTATTGTTCGGTTTGACGAGGGGAAAGCGCTGGGATTTTTGCAGCCACGTTTCTAACCTCAAAATATTTATTTATATCGACCCTGATCTAGTTTATTATTAAATAAAACTGTCGATGGCTAGGGATGTGCGACTGCTGGTGAGGGAGACATTCTCGGAGGGATTTGAAGAGCGAGAATGGAGATTTTTGCCGGCGTTTCGCTATTTTACTGCGGCGATGTCAAATGTTTTTTGTTCATTTGTCATTGCGAGTTGAGGTAAATGTACCTGTGCTCGTTCAGATGTCGTGAGTTATCGCATTTTAATTGTTTTGACAGGGCCAAGTGTCTGTCGGACGAAATACGATTGGAGTCGTTATTTTAGTTAATAAGGAAAGGTACAGACACTAGTGAACAGGGATTTATTGAAGAATAAGAGAGAAAATCCCATTCACATTTAGGGTAAACAGGTCAATTTCTGGACGATTTTTACTTCTATTGAATACTCCATAAATAATAAAATGAAAATCGTCCTGATTATTTAATTTTTTAATAATATTACTCGTGGATAATCATGTGATCAATTATTTTTTCTGTTGATCGACATTTAATAAATAAAAAAAAATGGCCCAGTCCAGAGATTAGGGGTTTCGGCTGAATTCAACTATTTCTTAATTAAAATATTCTTTGTTTTCTTATTTTGACTTCAAATAATTTTTTTGGCTGATTAAAACATTCTTGAAGGTATGGAAGCCATCATATTCCCATTTAGATAATTCTTTTATTTTAGATACTCCCATGAAACTCGAATTTCTCTTAACCGTCCAGCAATTGGCCTGTTCACCCTAGTGGTGCTACAACAGAGTGAATTTTTAAGCCGCAATTTACGAAACTCACAATTTTAAAATGTTGATATCTCCGTTATAATAGTAAAATAGGATTAAAAATCCCTTGACTGAAATTTAGGATGGATAAAAAACAATAAAAATGCGTAATAAAATATAATTTTCTGTCTCGAGATATAGCGTAAACAGGTCAGTTACTGGACGGGGGCTAGTTTCTGGACGATTTTTACTTCCATTGAATACTCCATAAATAATAAAATGAAAATCGTCCTGATTATTTAATTTTTCAATAATATTACTCGTGGATAATCATGTGATCAATTATTTTTTCTGTTGATCGACATTTAATAAATAAAAAAAA